TGCTTTTTGTGGCATTATGTCGGGCACAGAGGACGTAAAAGAGCAAGAAATGGTGGATGAGAGTGCCCCTGAGGAGTCTCAGAAGTCTATGCCATCATCTCAAGAGGAGGTTTTTTTGAAATCTTGTGCTTTATATATTCAATTTGGTTGAATCTTTGAAAGTGAGCTGGTAGAATTTCTATTATGGGATGCTTGATTTCAAGTCATTTGCCCTATTTATATATATGTATATATAGATATAATTTTTTTTTATTCTTAATTTTGTAGGAGGCAGCTGTAAAAAAGAAGTATGGAGGGATCGTGCCCAAAAAACCCCCACTCATTTCTAAGGTGATTTCTGATTAAGAATGTGCTTTTTAATAGTAAAAAAAGTGATTCTGGGTTGTGTTGTTATTAATAAAGATTGAACTTGATGTTAGGACCATGAGCGTGCTTATTTTGATTCGGCTGATTGGGCTCTTGGAAAGGTACTTTACTTTTGATCTTGCACTGTTCTTCTTTAGCTTGACCATGCTAGAGAATATGCATTAAGTTAGTTTCCAGGTGTTTTTAATTCTTTTCAATGATAGCAGCAAGGTGTTTCGAAACCAAAAGGACCACTTGAAGCTCTTCGGCCAAAATTGCAGGTATTAGTTAATACTTTCTTGAACTGATAGGACGGGTTTTGACCTTCTTAAACTAGGTATTAAATGTATATTGGTACGAATAGGCAATGAGCAATGGTTATGTTTATGACTTTAACAAACAATACGTAGACTGCCCCACCATACTAGAATTTTATGTCAGTAGGTAGCAAAGCTTGCTACTTTGAGCCCAGTGCTGATAAATGGAAGTCATTTTCCTAAAAAATAACTCCTAATCTTAATAGTATAAAATCAATGTTAAAGTAACTATTGTATTGCAAGCTTTAGATGTCATGAGATGCTGAATGTCAGACTGATGGTTTGATGGAGTGTAGATTTTGAATTAGAATCCTTATGTCATTTAACACCATCAAACAACCAAAAAAAAAAAAAAAAAAAAACAAGGGCATTCAATTATTTTCATAACATTGCAAACAAAATGGAAAGATTGTTAAAACTTGTATTGAAAAATAATTAGCAACTAGAAGGAATAATTGTTGAATTGGAAATGTACATTATTTTTACCGGAGCAAAAATGAGGTTACAGTGACAGGTGATTGCGTGAGAGTTGGATGTGTTGAATTGACTGCCGTTGGAAAATGTTTTGGAGACAAAATTAAAAATTTCTCTGCTAGAAGAAACAATTAGTGACTTGGAAAATGTACTAATTTGAAAGATATATACTGTAGGTGCAAAAGGAGCTATATAGAGGAGGTTGCCTGAGATTTTGATGTGGTGATAGAAACATCTTTTGAAAGTTTTAACATGCTTGAGTGCCAACTGGGTTTGTGGAGATTAATTCCTACTGACTTTAGTTGGGTGATAGTGGAGGCCTTTGAGGGTGGAGAGAAAAAGTCCTTAATGGTGATTAAATTGAATTTTTGAAGAAGTCCCTGGCCTTCTGTTTCTCTTCTTCTCAGTCTTGTTTATTTCTGGTATTCCAGAAGAGCTCAGTTTGAGCTCTTTGCTTTTTGATGTACTTTCTATTGTATACATTGTGTTCATAGAGTTGCCTTAGTGTTTTCTGATATTTTTTATACTAATGAAGGATCTAAAAGATAAAAAGTTCATTCTCTAGTGAACTGGATGCTTTAAATGGTAAGGAATAATCTGGCTTTTGAATACATTTCAGTTTTAGAAAGAGAAATATGGACTAGCTGTCTCAGCTTACCTGGAATTGAGTTCTTTAAAGTATACAAGTCACATTGAGCTTATGCTCAAGGCTGTTGGGAAACCAATATTATGGGCAATAAATTTAAGATCTTTACAAAAAGTTGAGTAGTTTCTGACTTTCTATCTAGTTAGTGTTTATGTATGTAGAAATAGGTTTCACATTTACAATTAAAATCATTTTGGGTCAGAAAAAAAGCTCATTCAACTGATATCAGTCGACATTCTTCTAATAGATATATTTCGATTTTCATGTTTAAAATGTTTCCCATATCCTTTGAATTTGAGGCTTTTGTTGATAATACTTAAAAGTCATAATAAATATGTGGGATTTAGACTATAGTGACTATTTTTTTTTTCTTGTTTTTAAATTTAAGTGTACTGTAACATTGGGTAATTGTTATACTATTTTCTTATTTTTTATGAGCTTGCTTTTTTTTATGTATGAAACAAGTTAATGTCTACATAATTGCTTATGGAGCTTTATATTTGTCATGTTACAGCCCACACAACAGCAAACACGATATAGAAAGTCTCCTTATGCTCCTTCTGATGGTGAAGGTATGCGTATGCTTTTTTCAATTGCAAGCAATTCATTCAAATGTCATTCAACAAGGGAAAAAGGAAGTCACCAATTGTTTTCCTCTCTCTTCTATGCAGATGCAGATGCAGGGAGTGCTCCCTCTGAGGAAGCAAGTGGAAATGAATGAGAGATTGTTGTTGATGAGGATCATTGATTGTTATTCTAATATCTAATTAGGTGATGATAATAAAGTTGGTGAAAATGATATTAGCTAAAAGGAAACAAATCACAATAGTTTTATGTAGCTGAGACCTTGTGTGAACTAAACTTCTTTTTCTGGATGTGGGACATAATTGCTTGTTCTATGATTCAAAAGCTTCTTTTTCTTCTGAGATTTAACACTTACTGGTAGGGGTGTGCAAAATTATCTGATATACGATCCGATTTGAACTGAAAAAACGGGATCTGGTTTTTTCTGGGTTGGAGGGCTGCTGCTGATGTTCTTCTGGGATATTTTTTATCTTTTCTTTGGATTTTCTTCTCCTGCCTAGTTTGTGTCGCTTTGTGAAGCTGCTGGTGTGCTGCCGGTTCTTGTCTCTTGGCTTTGTGCTGCTGGGTTTAAAAAAAAAAAAAAAAGATGCAGGCTGCTGGGTTTAAAAGCTGCAGGCCGCTGGGTTTTTTTTGGGTGCTGGCTGCTGGGTTCTTTGCTGATTCTTTATGCAGTTGCTGCTGGTGTTTTTATCTGGTTTTATTTGCTTTTATGCAACTTGTGGCTTAATTATTTGGTAATCATGCATTATATAATGTTAAGACCCCCCATACATAAGGTCTATAAATCCAAGGGCAAGGGAAGGAATAGGAATAAGGGGGTGTTGGGTGTGAGTTTGTTAACAGGGAGTGAGGTGTGCAATAAAGGTTGTTAGGATTGTTGAGGCTGTTATGAGTATTGACAGGTGGCTGTCAATTCTGTTACAGAAGAGAATAACTAGCTTATAAAAGGGAGAGAGAGTGGAGAGTAGGATATCAAGAAATATATTCTGGAATTGTGTGGGAGGCCCCAGCTCCTCGAACTGCTGGAAACTATCTGTTATTTCAATTGGTTTTGTTCATTTTTCATTCAGTATCCATTAATACAATTTGCCATTATCTGTTATTTGAGCCTATTGCTGCTCTGTGTGTGTGTTATGTTGTTGTGAGTCTCTGGTTTGTAGGAGGGTTCCAACAGTTTGGTATCAAAGCTAGGTTATGGTCAAATCGAAGATGGAAGGTAGGATGGAAAATATGGAAAAAGAGATGAAGGCCGCTGTACAGGAGGATATGAATTCAGTAAAAACAGATGTGGGAAGCCTTAAGGAGTACTTGACTGAGATGAGGGAATTGATGAGATCAAGAGAGGAGAGGGATGAGAAACGATACCATGAAAAAGAGAAGTCTCACTCAAACTCCGAGAATACAGAATCTGAGAATGGCCGAGAATAAGGACAAGAAACAAGCAGGGAAAGTGGGAAGGAAGAGAAGAAAGGCCAAAAGCTGGAACTTCTGATTTTCAGTGGAGAAGACCCCTTTGGATGGACTTTTCGCGCTGATCGATACTTCACTATCAACAAATTTGGGTCATCAGCAGGGCCGTCTCTAGAATATTTGTGACCCTAGGCAGGAGTTACTTTGGGGCCCTCTAATAATATAAGCATATATTAAAAAATTATTATTATTATTATTTTATTTTTTATTTTTATTTTTTTGCTTTTTGAGATGAAAAATCACTAGGAGAGGTGGACAGCAACCGGCAGGTTAACAAGGTTAGGTTGGTGGGGGGTTTTGGAGAGTAGATGTTGGAGAAGTGATGGGTGATGAAATTGGTGATTTCCAATGCCAAGATTGATAAGAAAATGCTTGAGAAGTCACGGCCCAAAAGGTATCGATGGCCGGCGATTGGCAGAGCAAACAGATAAGGTATGATAGGGGTTTTGGTGAGTGGGCTGAGGGGAGGAAGATGGTGGTGTCGGGGAAGGCCAACAATGTCGAGTACATGCTAAAAAGGCTGAAAATGACTGTCGTGTGGTGGAGTTGGGTTGCGAGATTCATAAAAAATTAGTCAAATCGAGGGCTATCAAGGTTGGGAAATGATAAAATGATGATTTCGGTCGATTTTGGTGAGAAAATCGATCGGAACCAAAATTGACCGAAATCAACTCCAAACCACTGGCGGCAGAAGAGGATTGGAGATGATTTATGTGAATGTCAAATTTTGGGATTGAATTAGGGGTGAGTAATTTGAGATAAGTAAATAACTATTTTAGTCTTCCATTGTTAAAAGAGATTCAATGTGTTAATTTAGGGGTATAAACTAGAATATATAAAACTAAAGGTACAAACTTGCTATTTTGTTAAACTTTGGGTGGGAATATATGTAAAAAGTTTATAATAAATTTAGGTTTTTTTGGCTTTTTTTTTTGGGGCCCCTTGGCTTAGATAAGAAATTATAAACTATTTTTATTTTTGTAAAATATTCAAAAAAAAATTAATAAAAAATTTGGGCCCCCTTTTTTTTGGGGCCCCTTTTTTTTTAGGGGCCCTAGGCAGGTGCCTCACCTGCCTAGCCCTTAAGCCGGCCCTGGTCATCAGAGATGGTTGAAGCCGTGGCAGTTTGCATGGAGGGTAGGGCATTGAACTGGTACCAATGAATGGAAGGGATAGAACCTTTCAAATCGTGGGATGAGTTCAAGGTTGCTCTAATCGCCAGGTTCTGGCCGTCATTCCAAGGTTCTACGCATGAGGCACTGGTGGCATTGAAACAATACTCCACCGTGACTGAATATAGAGAGGATTTTGAATCCTATACGGCGCCGTTGAAGGACTTAGGTGAAGAGATATTGATGGGAGTTTTTATTAATGGGCTTAGAGAGGAAATACGGGCTGAGTTGAGAGTGTTAAAGCCCTGCTCCTTGCAAGAAGTGATTGAGCAGGCCCATCGCGTGGAGGAAAAAAAATTGGGTCATGGATAAGAGTCGGCCCAAAACATTCAGGGCCTAAGGATCCAGGGAAAGCTACTCACGAGTTTCTAGCAGCCCAGACCCAAATCGACCCACATGGTGGTCCAACCCAGCAAAGGCACCCAGAAACCCCGACCCGACCCGTATGGTGGCCCAACTTAACAAAACCACCAGATCCAAGCCAGATCGCTTCTTCGCGCACACCCGATAGGAAAGAGAGATCATCGGAAAATGCAAGCGCAAGTTTCCGAGGGGGATCAGGAGGGGGTTTCCGGTGTTTGTCTGAAGCCGATATCCAATACAAGAGAGAAAGAGGGTTGTGCTTCCAATGTGACGAAAAGTTTGGCCCCAATCATCGCTGTCGAAGCAAATCACTGCAGATCCTGTTGGTGTTGGATGACGATGAGTCTGAGAAGAGTGAAGCCCCATCGGAAAATGACGAAAATCACAACCAAGAGGGAAACGATTTAGCTCTGTCCATGAACTCCATCGTGGGTATAACGTCAGACAAGACATTGAAGGTAAAGGGTCAGATTAGGGGTTCAGAGGTAGTGGTGTTGGTCAACAGTGGAGCGTCACACAACTTTATTTCTCTGGAGTTGGTTGAGAGACTTGGTATTGCAGTGGAAAAAGGGAAAATCTTTGGAGTGATGGTGGGAAATGGAGTCACTGTGAAAGGAGAAGGGGTATGTCGACAGGTTACTCTGGATGTGCAAGGAATTCAGATTAGGCAGGATTTCTTTTCCTTTGAGCTCGAGGGAGCTGACATTGTTCTGGGTATCACGTGGTTGAGCTCATTAAGGGACGTATGTGCTAACTGGAAGAAGTTGACTATGAGCTTTGAGGTAAATGAGGTTAGAGTTAGTTTACAAGGGGACCCTTCCTTGGTGAAGTCGGTTGTCTCCCTGAAATCAATGTTACGGACCATCAGTCACAATGGGGGAGGATTTCTGGTGGAATGTTGTTCACTAGGGAGAATACTCACGACCATAGAGGAAGAACTCTGTCCACGAGTTCAGGCAGTATTAGATCAGTATAGACACCTTTTTGACCAACCCTCCAAAATCTCTCCACACCGTACCTATGACCACACCATAAACCTTAAAGAAGGAGCACCAGTCCCTAACATCCGACCTTATAGGTATCCTTATTTTCAAAAAAATGAAATAGAGAAGTTGGTGGAGGAAATGTTAGCTGCCCGTATTATCCAGCCTAGTACCAGTCCGTTTGCCAGCCCGGTGTTGTTAGTCAAGAAAAATGATGGAAGTTGGAGGTTTTGCGTTGATTACAGGACGCTCAACGATATAACAATTCCCGATAAATTCTCAATCCCTACCATTGAAGAACTGCTGGATGAATTAGTAGGGGCAACTATTTTCTCTAAGCTCGATCTTCGATCCGGATACCATCAGATCAGAATCAAGGACGAAGATATCCCCAAAACAGCCTTTCGAACACATGAAAGGCATTACAAGTTCTTGGTTATGCCGTTCGGTTTGACCAATACTCCTTCGACGTTTCAGTCTCTGATGAACATCATTTTTAAACCAGTTCTACGTAAGTTTGTGCTTGTATTTTTTTATGATATTCTGATTTACAGCCCCGACTTGGAATCCCACATCAGACACCTGCGGCAAACTCTTAGGATTCTGGACGACAACAAATTGGTTGGGAATTTTAAAAATGTTTGTTCGGACAGCAGAAGCTGGAATATCTGGGGCATCTAATTTCAACTAATGGGATTAAGGTAGATCCGCAGAAAATTGATGCTATGGTTTCTTGGCCCACACCCACCAATGTGAAGAGTCTTTGCGATTTTTTGGGATTAATGGGGTACTATCGCAGGTTTGTAAAGGGGTACGGTAGCATAGCCTAGCCACTCACAAGACTACTGAAGAAAAATTCTTTCAGTTGGGACCAAGAAGCGCAACAGGCCTTTCAGGCCTTAAAGGAAGCCATGACTTCAGTTCCTGTTCTGGCAGCCCCGGATTTCAACTCCCCATTCGAGATTCACACAGACGCCTTGGGCTATGGTATGGGGGCTGTCTTAGTTCAGAATAAATGACCCATAGCTTACTTAAGTAAGGCCTTCTCCCCTCAAGCTAAACAGAAATCGGTTTATGAAAGAGAGTTAATGGCCGTCGTATTCGCGGTGCACAAATGGAGTCCGTACTTATTAGGCAGGAAGTTTATCATACACACAGACTAGCGCAACCTCCAATTCCTCAAGGACCAGTGGATTAAAACCTCGGAACAGCAAAAATGGGTGTCCAAATTAATGGGGTTTTCGTTTGATATTCACTATTGGCCGGGAACCACTAATAAGGTCGCTGATGCTTTATCCCGGCGAGAAGAGGGACCAGAATTATCATCTTTGTCAGTGAGTCAATTTACGGAGTATGAGGAGTTGGCAACTGAAGCCCATCAGGACCCCAAGCTTAGACAGCTGATTCAAGATCTGGTTGTGGCACCCAACAGCCGATCAAACTACAGACTTCGCCATGGCTGCCTATTGTACAAGGACAGACTGGTTCTGCCTAAAAGTTCTCGATTCATTTAGAAATTACTTGCTGAATTTCACTCCAACCCAACTGGTGGTCATTCCGGCTTCTTCTGGACGTATAAAAGGGTAGCCAATGTAGCTTATTGGGTAGGCATGAAGAAGGATATCCAGAACTTTGTTCAAACCTGCACCATATGTCAAGTTAATAAACACTCAGCCTTGAAACCGGCAGGACTACTTCAGCCACTTTCGATACCCACTCAAGCATTCGATGACTTAACAATGGACTTCATTGGAGGACTTCCAAGGGCCAAGGGGTTTGATACCATTCTGGTTGTAGTTGACCGCTTGACCAAATATGGCCATTTTCTGCTCTTGTCGCACCCTTATACTGCTAAGGAGGTGGCTCTAATATTCATGAAAGAAATAGTGAAGCTTCACGGGTTTCCTCAGTCCATCATTACCGACAGAGACAGACTTTTCATGAGTCAATTTTGGCAAGAGATTTTCAGGGTATCCGGGACAGCTTTGAAGTTTAGTTCCGCTTATCACCCACAAACGAATGACCAATCCGAAGTGGTGAACAGGTGTTTGAAGGCATACCTTCGCTGCTTTTGTAGCTCACGGCCCCGACAATGGCCGAATTGGCTACCATGGGCTGAATTTTGGTATAACACGACATATCATCGCTCCACCAAGATGACACCGTTCAAAGCCTTGTACGGCCGTGACCCCCTGATTCTCCTGAAGTTCACAGACTACCCTTCTCCGGTTGATGAAGTAAACCACCAGATCCATGAGTGAAATGCCATCCTTCAGGACCTCAAACACAACCTGGAAGTAGCACAGGTTCACATCAAAACACAAGCAGACCGTCATCGAAGGAATGTGCAGTTCTCTCCGGGAGATCATGTGTATCTTCGACTACAACCTTACAAATTTAAATCTCTGGCCACACGGTTGAATGAGAAACCAAGTCCTAGGTTTTATGGACCTTTTCGGATCTTGGATAAAATCGGCCAGGTAGCATACAAGTTAGAACTACCCCCAGTAGCCCGCATTCACCCTGTTTTTCACGTATCCCAGTTGAAGCATAGCCTGCATAGCTCAGTTCCGGTACAGCCTCTGCCTCCCTGTCTCACCGAAGACCTGGAACTGCAAGTTCAGCCTGCTGAGGTGCTGGATGTGAGGTCTCTTATGGATGGATCCACAGAGGTTCTCATTCGATGGCACGATCTGCCCTCTTTCGATGCCACATGGGAACCTTTGATGTAATCAACAGTCAATTTCCTCAATTTCACCTTGAGGACAAGGTGGCACTTCGAGGGGCGGGTATTATTAGACCCCCCATACATAAGGTCTATAAATCCAAGGGCAAGGGAAAGAATAGGAATAAGGGGGCATTGGGTGTGAGTTTGTTAACAAGGAGTGAGGTGTGCAATAAAGGTTGTTAGGATTATTGAGGTTGTTATGAGTATCGACAGGTGGCTGTCAATTCTGTTACAGAAGAGAATAACTAGCTTATAAAAGGGAGAGAGAGTGGAGAGTACGATATCAAGAAATATATTCTGGAATTGTGTGAGAGGCCCAAGCTCCTCGAACTACTGGAAACTATCTGCTATTTCAATTGGTTTTGTTCATTTTTCATTCAGTATCCATTAATACAATCTGCCATTATCTGTTATTTGTGCCTATTGTTGCTCTGTGTGTGTGTTATGTTGTTGTGAGTCTCTGGTTTGCAGGAGGGTTCCAACATATAATTTCAATTTTATTACAAAAATTATTTAATTTTAATAAGCATTTTTGTAAAATTCGAATCAATTTCGGATATTCGGAAAACCGGATATCCATATAATTTGGACCAGATTTGGATCTGGATATATTCTGATCCGAAAATCCGGATTGGATTAGAAATAAGCCCAACCAGCTTGGATATCTGGTTTTGTACCGTACTTGTGTCAATTGAAATTGAATGAACCTTTTTTTGATAGATTGTGCTATATGATAGAACAAAAATGCCCATAAACCTCAGTCTCTGGTTAATAAAAATAATAACTGGATTAAAATAAAATAAGATTTTGGAAAATTGATAAATTATATTTCAATTTCATTTTTCTTATCTTCCTCTTTCCTTGCGCAGCCAAAATGACCATTCCACTGAACGATACAGTGTTCATCAAATCACCAATGCAAAAATTACAAAGAGTATGTTTGTTTTAGTTTTTTTTTTTTTTTTTTTAAAGTAAGAGTTGAATGATTGTTAAAAATGTAAGATTTGAATATTAAAGAAACAGTTAATTTATTAAATAAAATATTAAAAATTAATAAAAATACCCAGTACCTACTCATTAAATACGGGCAGCGTACATGTGCAGGTCCATATCACCCAGACTGAAGATGTGGGTACTGGGTCGTTAGGTTGATTTAAAGTTACTTAACTTTTTGTCTTTTATTTCGGTTATTAAATGACATATGTAACCCTTTAGTTTAGCCGTTGCTTCGATTTCGATTTTCGAAGCTAACGGTTGTCAACTTTAGGGATGATTTTGCTAGTTTTTTAAATTGTTGTCCTAAAAAGTAAGGGAAAATATAATTTGAATCCACTATCCCTAATTTAAAGATCTCGTACCTTGTAAAACGGAAGATAGGATAAGGTGTAAAAGTGGAATTGGAATGGCAATGGCAGCTACTACAAGCTTTTTATGTCTAGGTGGTACTAAGCCAATGCCATCTCTTGTCACGGTTGAAGCCAAAGCCAGAACCAGAAGAGAAGACCGCACTGCCCGCCATTCTCGTATCAGGAAGAAGGTTTATTTTTTCATTAATTATTGTTCATAATCATGTTTTTGTTTAGGGTTTTGTTTTGATGATAAGGCACAAACAATTTAGGTTGAAGGGACACCAGACAGGCCAAGGCTATGTGTTTTCCGCTCCAACAAGAATCTCTATGTCCAGGTGATCGATGATACTAAGATGCACACTCTTGCTTCTGCTTCCACTATGCAGAAACCCATTTCTGACGAATTCGATTACACTTCTGGTCCTACCATTGTAAGTTAACCATATGTTGCTTTAATTTAATTTATTTGACTCTTTACGAACAATAATTTTCGCTTTATTGGCATTAGGAAGTCGCAAAGAGAGTAGGTGAAATCATTGCAAAGTCTTGTTTGGAGAAAGGGATTACCAAAGTTGCCTTTGATCGAGGTGGATACCCATACCATGGACGTGTAGAAGCCCTTGCCGATGCAGCTCGGGAGCATGGCCTTCAGTTTTAACATATCTGTACTCACCCATTCCTTCTTCTCAATGTCAACTTAATTTTTTATTGGAAGAAAGTATGTTTTTGTGAACAAGATATGATTTTGAGCATCTGATAACAAAATTAAGTTTTGCACTTCGATTTCTTTTGCTCACTTGGTAATTAAGAAAAATTTTAAAACTAAATTCAAAATACAGTAAGAGTTGCGCCCATGTTTTTCAATAAATGCTTAATAGTATAGGAACGAAATTTCTTTTGTGCAAAAGCTTAGAATTGGTTATGGTAAGCCTTCCCTGTTTTTCTGCTCTGTTATTTGTAATTAGATGCTGATTCATAAGTTTGTCGTTATGATTGGATTTCTGGACTCTCTGGATCTTTTAGTACATAGCAACTTTAAGTGTTTTGTTTGCTGAAGTGTAGGAAAAACCTATCATATCGGGCTGTAATAGTGGAGTTGAGTCCCGTAGGTTAAAACTTTTTCCATCTTTTAATAAGTATCATATATTGTACCTTCATTATACAAATTAGTCCCTTGAATTCTCCAGTGGATGCTTTGATTTGCCTCCCATGTCTTCTGTTTTGAAAGTAATCTCTCCTACTATTGTAAATATGTGAATTAATGTACTGCTAAAATCACTCTTTTTATAGCCGAGAGTTAACTTTCAAAAGAAAATTGTCTCCTACTTTTGTACGTTTGGGAGTTCCCTTTGATAGTTCAACAGGAGCACTTGCCAAACTGTTTTTTGCTGCATTTATCTTTTCCTCTACCTGCATTTCTGTCGCGGTTTTGTTTTGTATCTATTAACTTATATTATTTTTAGATATCTTGATGCGAGTCTTGCTCTTAGGATAAGATGTGACACGGTTGAAGGGTAAAGAGATAAGACTCTTTTCTTGAGCAAGAACGGCATTTTATTTGATATCTAATATTAATATACAACGTGATTATTTAACTTTAGTTCGGAACCCAAATGGTGTTTGAATCGAAGCTCAAGAACACTTAACTGTGTTTGTGACAATTATTGAGCAACAATTTCAGTGTGCTTCATATGGTAACTAGAAAGCTTTACAGTCACCCCCTTGAGGGTGTTCGAAGCTCAACACTTATATAGTGTTTGTTACAATTCTTGAGCCACAATATGAATTCAACAAAAAAAATAATAAGGCTAACAGCAACTGACAGTAGAGTCTTCTGCGTAAGGTGAAGAAAGCTGTAGGCAGCTTAGTAGAATAGCAAACAACTTAAAACAATGAAAAACGCAAGGCCAAGTACAAACAGATTGCACAAGGGAATGTGAGCTCCTAAGCGCTGAGTTCAAGAAACCTTAGTGCCATAGGATGCTTGGCTTCAGAGAGCATATCAGGTTTTAAAACTTCAACAATCACACCATTGACAAGAAGACAAACTATATCAGCAATCCTCTGGATTTGTTTGATGCTGTGAGAAACCATTACGATTGTCATTTCTTGTTTCTGCTTCAGTTTCACTAACACATCCTCTATATTTTGAGTTGCTATTGGGTCCAAGGCACTGGTTGGCTCATCGAGCAGCAAAACCTATTTTCAAGAGATCAAACTCAAATGCTTAAATAAAGTTCACAAAATAGCGATAGAATTAAGAAAGTGCCACGGACCGTAACCCTAATACAGTTCAGTGGAATGCACATTGTTGGATATGTTTTATGACATATGAATAAGGTTACCTCTGGTTCATTGGCTAGTGTGCGAGCAAGTGCAACTCGTTGAGCTTGGCCAACTGATATTTCACCACTGGTTTTATTGAAGAAAGAGGAATCAAGGTCTGCAAGAGAGAGCAACTTGTAAACCTCATTGTCACTTATCTTTTTTCCTCTCAGTTGTGGTCCATAACGAATATTATCAGCAATTGTTCCTGAAATGTGATATCCATAGTTAGAATTTATAAGTATTAACTTTCCCCATTTGTGGCTGCGACATGTTTTGCCCATCAAAATCCTTAGAACAACAAAGTGTCTTCTTTTTCATTCTACAGTTTGTTTATGTTCCAGTACTCGTATTCTTTATTTTCAGTTTTCAATACAAAACAAAGTGTTTATGATTAAGGTCTAAGGTTGAGAATCTACATTAAATGTAAAATGCTATAAGAACATGATTGATTATCCAACAGAATAAAGAATATTGAATAATTGTGCTAAGATCGATCCAACATAATACATATCATCAAACTCCTCGCTGAAGAAACAGACTGGAACATTAAAATAACAAATAATAATTAAAAAAAAATAACCTGACCTTCAAATAGAACCGGAGTTTGGAAAAGCATGCCAACTTTACGACGAAGATTCAGAACATCAAGATCAAGAATATCACGACCATCAAGAAACACAGTACCAGAAAGTGGCTCCCACAAACGATTGAGTGCTCTCAAGACCGTTGATTTGCCACTGCCACTGGGGCCTATGATCCCTACGATCATACCCTTTGGTATGTCCATGTTGATCCCATTGAGAATGGGAGCTCCGGAATCCGATACTTTGGTCAAATCGCGTATGTGGAATTTGCTTTCACTTGCTGGTATATCAACCACCAAAAGAGGTTCTTGAGACATTGTGTCTATGCGAATACGAGGAAGATAAAGAAGCTATAATATACATATATATATATATGGGGCGGTAAGGAGTAAAACGCCTGCCCCAGTTTTTAGTTGATTGTTGCTCTGAATGCAACCTTTTCCACTTGCTGAGTCAGCGTCGAAGCAAGAATATTTGATCCAATATAGATACCCCCAAAGTTATGGCATTTTGCTAGCAAAATACTCATACTTGTCAAATTATCAGAAGTACCCTTTCGATTTCTTTTGAGTAATTTTACTATTTTCATAAGCAATAAAATAATAAATACTCATGATTGGACGAAAATCCCCAAAGTAACTAATCTTTTTTTTTTTTTTGAGAAATAATCCAATTAAATTTATAAAACAATATCAACATTACATGAATAACTTATAGAATTATTCAAATAAATTGTAAACAACTTCTTTTAGTTAAAGATAACCCAACCGATTACTTTATTATTTTGTTAAATATTAGACTATATGAAATTATATATTTTTTGAGAACATTACATAATTTTTATTTTTTAATCTTGATATTTTTGGTTTTGAAATATGGAGACGGTTATACATAAATAAAATTGTATTAAAAATTAAAATTAAAACCATGGATCATTAGGTAGTGTAACGATGAAACTTTCTTATATTTATTATAAAGAATATTTAAAGAGCAAGGTAATTGACATAAACTGGAGAAGATTGTAGAACAGAAGGGTGCGTTCGATACGCGTTTGCTTGGTTTTATAGTTAATCATATTTAGTCGCACTAGGTCATCAAATTTTCTGTTTTGGATCCATGGCTCTCAATCCTCAACTTTTTCCCCATGGGATGCCAGTGCCCTTCGTCAATGAGCTATTCGTGCTTGCCAGAGATGGCGTGGAGTTTAATGTCGATAAGATTCCTGGGTTTGTTCCTTAATCGTTATTATTATTATTATTATTTATCTTCATCTCTAATTATTTTTTTGTGGATAAGTTTATCGTAGATCAAAGGAAATTAGGGTTATGGTAGATTATAACTGCCTAACATTAATTATATGTCGATTTAGGGCTCTTTAAACTTAATTTCCTGTGGAAATAATCCATTCTAAAGAGAAGTTGTTATAGAGTTTCGTAAATTTATATTTCTTTTACTTGCTGTGCGTTTCAGAGGCTTTATATTTGCATTTGGTAAATTTGATTTTATACTTCTTGGTTAGGCTTATTGAATATTGATGTCTTGGCCATTGAGAAGCTACTGTGTTCTTGGAAATGATGCATTGTTTGGACTTGGAAGAACAAGGAAATATAATGGGAAAAGAAGAAAATGAAATCTTTTATAATGATAATAAGTACCGAGAAGTTTTTCTGATGGAGATGCATTGTCTTAGCAATTTACCCTACTATTGCCTTGTGTTTTCAGAGCTCATGGGGGCAACGTAAAAGCGAAGGGGACAATTTACTTGTCAAATATTCGCATGGTCTTTGTTGCTAGCAAACCTGTTGGAAACTTTTTTGCCTTTGATATGCCCCTGGTACGTGATTAACCCGTGCACTGTTTTCCTGCTTAAATCTTGCCGCTTGATTCTTCTGAAATGCACATAGGGGATTGACACAATTTTTAAAGACTAATATTATAGCCAGCTTCCTTTTTTATTTTTTTCCTTGAGTCAGGTGCTGGTTGGTATCATGCATCTGCGTCTTAAGAGTTTCTAGTGTTACTAAATCACTAAAATTTCTTATCTGATATTATAGCACATTCCACAAATAATTATAGGATACACTCGTCATGTATACATTTTATAATTTAGTCATATTTAATAAAAGTTTAATGGGATTTATCACATGGAATTGATGTGCAAGTGATTGTCTAAATGCTTAAGCAGTGAACAACGTTCTCCATACCTTGAATCATGAATACACCGATGGAGTGCAATGATAATGAAGTGAAAGTGGGATTAATCAAGGAGTGATTTAGCAACTCATAAAAGAGATATGTTTGTTATGATTGTGACTGGTTCTCTAGGAAATTTTTGGTGCAAATTCTGGAAGAAGTGCATTAACTAGTGCATGCAAGCTACTAAAGATATTATATCCCACAAGTTTCCTTGAACGTATTTTATATTTGTGGCATTTTGGGTCTCCCTCTAGACTTTGTGTTCAGCCTTGTGAGTATACATCTTTTAGGTACAAATCTTATGAGGCACAGTTTTCTTTAATAGCTTGACTTGTCTGGCCCCGGACCTTCCTTCTCTTCGTCTTTCCACTTTTGACATCTTTGTATATCATCTCTAAATTTCTTNTTATTATTATTATTTATCTTCATCTCTAATTATTTTTTTGTGGATAAGTTTATCGTAGATCAAAGGAAATTAGGGTTATGGTAGATTATAACTGCCTAACATTAATTATATGTCGATTTAGGGCTCTTTAAACTTAATTTGCTGTGGAAATAATCCATTCTAAAGAGAAGTTGTTATAGAGTTTCGTAAATTTATATTTCTTTTACTTGCTGTGCGTTTCAGAGGCTTTATATTTGCATTTGGTAAATTTGATTTTATACTTCTTGGTTAGGCTTATTGAATATTGATGTCTTGGCCATTGAGAAGCTACTGTGTTCTTGGAAATGATGCATTGTTTGGACTTGGAAGAACAAGGAAATATAATGGGAAAAGAAGAAAATGAAATCTTTTATATTGATAATAAGTACCGAGAAGTTTTTCTGATGGAGATGCATTGTCTTAGCAATTTACCCTACTCTTGCTTTGTGTTTTCAGAGCTCATGGGGGCAACGTAAAAGCGAAGGGGACAATTTACTTGTCAAATATTCGCATGGTCTTTGTTGCTAGCAAACCTGTTGGAAACTTTTTTGCCTTTGATATGCCCCTGGTACGTGATTAACCCGTGCACTGTTTTCCTGCTTAAATCTTGCCGCTTGATTCTTCTGAAATGCACATAGGGGATTGACACAATTTTTAAAGACTAATATTATAGCCAGCTTCCTTTTTTATTTTTTTCCTTGAGTCAGGTGCTGGTTGGTATCATGCATCTGCGTCTTAAGAGTTTCTAGTGTTACTAAATCACTAAAATTTCTTATCTGATATTATAGCACATTCCACAAATAATTATAGGATACACTCTTCATGTATACATTTTATAATTTAGTCATATTTAATAAAAGATGACTGGGATTTATCACATGGAATTGATGTGTAAGTGATTGTCTAAATGCTTAAGCAGTGAACAACTTTCTCCATACCTTGAATCATGAGTACACCGATGGATTGCAATGATAATGAAGTGAAAGTGGGATTATTCAAGGAGTGATTTAGTAACTCATAAAAGAGATATGTTTGTTATGATTGTGACTGGTTCTCTAGCAAATTTTTGGTGCAAATTCTGGAAGAAGTGCATTAACTAGTGCATGCAAGCTACTAAAGATATTATATCCCACAAGTTTCCTTGAACGTATTTTATATTTGTGGCATTTTGGGTCTCCCTCTAGACTTTGTGTTCAGCCTTGTGAGTATACATCTTTTAGGTATAAATCTTATGAGGCACAGTTTTCTTTAATAGCTTGACTTGTCTGGCCCCAGACCTTCCTTCTCTTCATCTTTCCACTTTTGACATCTTTGTATATCATCTCTAAATTTCTTTTTTTAGTAGCGTGAGAAATTTTTACCAGGGAAAGAGGGATATAAGAGAAGGGGTTTTTGGAGGGGGGCTGGTCAATCAGTGGGTAAGTAATTTGATGTAATGCACCTATGACCAATTTACTAATTTTTAAGCTTGTCTATTGACAGCTCTACGTCCATGGTGAGAAATTTAACCAGCCAATATTTCAGTGCAACAATATTTCTGGTCTTGTGGAGCCTGTAAGTATACCATCTAGAGACTTCTTGTTCTTACTATTTTTAATTTATTAGATACTGATTATTGCATGTTTAAATCACAGGTGGTCCCAGAAAATGAGCATAGGGCTCTATACTCCACCCATTCTTTCAAGATTTTGTTTAAGGAAGGGGGTTGTGGTACCTTCATTCCGCTTTTTTTCAACTTGATTTCATCAGTTAGACAGTATAATCAACAAACAAATATGCCAGCAGAACCTCGTGTAGATCCTTTACAAGCATCACAAACTCCAGTTGATGAAATGATGAGACATGCGTAAGTTGCATATTTAGCTATATGATTTAGTGGTGAAGACAATTTTGTGAAAGGTTTGTCAGTTAAAATCTCATTTGTTTGCTTTCTTGCAGATATGTTGATCCGAATGATCCAACAAGAATCTTCTTGCAGCAGCCCACTCCAGATTCTCAACTCAGACGTCGCACCTATCAGTCCCGCCCTGCTGAAAACTCCATCTGATTTTAATCTTAACAGTTGAAGAATGTGATACTTTTTGCCATTGTACGTTGTGTAGTTTGAGTACATAATAAACATACTTATTTGGGTGTTGTATTGCAATAAATATCTGCTTTTAAGTAAGCTCCTATTTTTCCGATCTTAGGACTTCACACATTCAAGTCAACTGCCTACTGTCAAACATAGGCATGCTCCTCTTCTTTTATCTTGTAAAACTGAAGCTTCCAGTTTAGGCTTCATCTTTGTTCTTCCTCTTCAAGTTCTGATAACATATGTGGCGGTGGGTAGAAAGGAGACATCCCATCTCATCAAAATTTATGAATTAATGATATCAAACATGAGATTGAGAAAACCACTAGATTTACAGTACAAATACTGCAGGTTTAGTTGAGTGAATGCTCTTTGGTATATGCAGCAAGATAAGAATGTGGAGCATCATCAGCATACTGCTTAAAAAAAATGAAAAGAGACATAAAATACCACCAAACCCCGCGATTATGAGTGGCACACTGCTTCACAGAGTGCAATCTATGCAGTTGGTATTCTTGCACACCCTTGTTAATTAGATGCATCTTCTCTGCCAGAATTTAGTAGGATAAACGATGAATGTTCCTTCTCTGCCATAACTGATAAGCAATCATATGGAAGGAATCATAACCTCTTGGTGTTTTATGCCACACAAAGTGCCTCCTGACTTGGCAAAGATTATGGTACATGATCAGATACATTTTTCTTGATATGGACAACAGCTTCTCCTTCAAAAATGCAATTTCTCCATGGTTGATGACAACAGAAAATTTGCTCCAGTCCAAGACATCCCCAAATGGGAGGTCATAATAATTGGAGAGTATAACAGGAATACACCCGTATTGTATGGCATCGCTGACCCTTGCTGTGTTGACTTCATAACCTCTAACATGGAAACAGTATTTGCTCCTCTTAAAGCCTTCCTCATAAGGAAAAGGACTCTTGGAGAATATGTCCATAGAAGTATCATTTCCCCATAAAGCTATTAGTTCTTGGCGAACACGAGAGTTTTGTATTCGTCCAGCAAAGTATACAAGTCTATGCCTGCGGTAGACAGACAAGTGAATGAGTGATGTCCAAGCTTGCAAAAGTTAGATAATGTCTGACATTCAAGAAAATGTTTATCAGTGCTAAGTTCAGTTAAAGAGAAGTATTTGTTAGCGTAAACGGAATGCTAATTTTGTATTATAGAATAGAGAAAGTGTCAATTCAACAGACCTTAGTATTAGATTGAAACAGGGCAAGTGAAAATCCATTTTTTTAGATTGACAACGATCATTCTTTTCTAAGTGAACTAGAAAATAAGATGCATTTACCTGGCATGAGGAGGATTCAATGGCACACGATCGGAGCGGGGCCAGACTTGAGGAAGAGCCACATCTTTGTGGGATACATAAAACTTTTGGAAGTAACTAGAAGAGCAAGTAACCTGAACCGCATTGTTATGCAATTCCGCATTTCTGGAAGCAGCCTCTCGTCCCACAGAATGACAGTACACATAGAAATGGTCAGCACCTCCCGACGCATTCCAGAATGCGAACTCTTTGCTTATGCTGCCAGTGTATTGGGCTACAAATTCAGCAATGGAAGCCTCCGACCGGACTCGAGGGTCGTTTCTCAAGTTGTTGATGGAGAAAGGCAAGAAGAAAAAATGGGCATGTTGAGGAGTAGTTGTGATTAGAGAACTATGAAGAAGGGCAATCTTAAACATGTGTTCACTCAGGTAATTTCCCAATTTTGGATTTAAGGGGTTTGTGTGGGGAACAAAAATTCCAGCAAATGGGTCCATGGTGATGTTGCTGTTGTAGACATGAGGGTATATATAGATCTTGAAATTGCTCATCATTTCCTGAAAATCGGCAACAAATAGTTTCCAATTGTGATAAGGGCCCGATTGAATATCCGCTGTGATGTTTGCCTTAGTATTTATACTTGGTCCTAGTGCTTTTGAAGAAGAAGAAGAAAAATTATGATAATGAGGTTGAGTTGATATAAGAGACGGATGTAACTGAAGGGGTTTTGGGGGATTGTAGGCCAATGCCATGACGACTAGCACCATCACCAGCACCGCCAGTAGCCGCCATAGATAATGAACATGAAGGGGTTGGTTTGTCTTTCTCTTCTTCTTATTCTCCATGGTAGCTAGAGAGGGAAATGGAAGCTTTTCTGCGAGATTTATGCAACTTCGAAAGTAGGAAATTTAGCTGTCCGGCCATTCCAAGTTTCCATTTAACAAATGGCATAAAAATCTTTTTGATTTTTTTTTAGATTAAAAAATATGACATGGCATCTTAAGCGTAATTAAAGCAGTAAAAAGAATTTGGGTAAATAAATTTAAATATTTGTGGGTTAGAGTATAATAAAGAGAAGTTGATTTAAAATTTGAAAGGCAGAACACATTTCTCTCAGGTTCTTTCTCTCCCTCGTTTTTTCTTCCAATTTTCTGCAATTTCTCAATTTCTTTGCTCTTTGCATTTTTTTCATTTCTTGTCATTCCCGATTAAGTTATAATAACTGAGTCCTTAAAGAAACAGAAAAAAACCCATATACTCCCCAAATTGTAGGCACGACTAGGTCTACCCAAAATAGAGAAGAAGAAGTTGTGGTGGGAGACTTCTGATGATGAAGTTGCTCCATAGGAAAGGAGACGGTGTCGACGGAAGACATTCTATGGTGAAACAAGGGAGGGCAAGAGTTGAAATTGAAACTGAAGAGGAGGATGCCGACGCAAATTCCAAGCGTCGGACATGATCGCTAAGCGATCTAAAATCGCTTAAGCGACCAAGAGTAAAAGCAAAGAGATCGCTTAAGCGATTTGGGATAAGCGATTTTAGATCGCTTAAGCTATCGTGCATTTGGACAGAAGTTGATTCTGCCCGGACACGATCGCTTAAGCGATTATAACGCTTAAAGCGACCAACGTTAAAAGCAAATGATCGCTTAAGCGATCATGCGTCTGGGCACTTATTTATTGTCTTGTTCATGATCGCTTAACGATCGTAGATCGCTTAAGACCATATAAAAGCGAAAAATCACTTAAGCAATACTTAAGCGACCTGCGTCTGAGCACTTATTTATTGTCTTGTTCATGATCGCTTAAGCGATCGTAGATCACTTAAGGGACCAATAGTAAAAGCGAAGAATCGCTTAAGCGATACACTTAATCGTTAAGCGATTGTGCAGTGATCCTGCGTCTGGATACTTATTTATTGTCTTGTTCATGATTACTTAAGCGATCGTAGATCGCTTAAGCGACCAAGAGTAAAAGCAAAGGATCGCTTAAGCGATCTGGGAAAAGCGATTTTAGATGCTTAAGCTATCGTGCATCTGGATAGAAGTTGATTTTGCCTCGGACACGATCGCTTAAAGCGACAATGTTAAAAGCAAGGGATCGCTTAAGCAATCATGCGTCTGGGCACCTATTTATTGTCTTGTTCATGATCGTTTAAGCGATCATAGATCGCTTAAGTGACCAATAAAAAAGGAAAAAAATGCTTAAGCGATACTTAAGCGATCCTGCGTCTGGGCACTATTTTTGTCTTGTTCATGATCGCTTAAGCGATCGTAGATCACTTAAGGGAAATAGTAAAAGCGAAGAATCGCTTAAGCGATACACTTAATTGTTAAGCGGTTGTGCAGCGATCCTGCGTCGGATACTTATTTATTGTCTTGTTCATGATTACTTAAACGATCGTAGATCGCTTAAGCGATACATTAACGCTTAAGCGATTGTGCATCTAGGCAGAAGTTTATTCTGCCTCAGACATGATCGCTTAAGCGATTTGTAATCGCTTAAGCGACCAAGGTTAAAAGCAAAGGATCGCTTAAGCGATAGAATAAATCGCTTAAGCGATCATGCGTCGGGCACTTATTGATTCTGTCTTATTCGTGATCGCTTAAGCGACCAAGTGTAAAAGCATAGAATCGCTTAAGCGATAACATAAATACAACCAGATCTCTTAAGCGACTAAGTCTAAATACACAGGATCGCTTAAGCCAGAAATGAAATCTTTAAGCGATCCAGTGTATTGGATTATTTTTATGTATTTCACTAGATTGGTTAAACGATTAACACTATCTTAGACAATAAGGTGTACGATTCATTCAGTGGACCATGACCATTATTATATTTTAATTAATAGTTCTTTACGGCTATATTAAACATTTATGGTATATAATATTTACATCTATATTAAACATATCAGGTGTACGATTCGTTCAGTGGACCAAGACCGACCGTATTATATTTTAATTAAATTAGTTCTTTTATGGCTATATTAAACATTATGGTGTAGAATGTTTACGTCTATATTAAACATATCAGGTGTACGATTTGTTCAGTGGACCAGATGTTATTATATTTTAATTAAATTAGTTCTTTTACGGCTATATTAAACATATATGGTGTAGAATGTTTAAGTCTATATTAAACATATCAGGTGTACGATTGTTCAGTGGACTATGACGTATTATATTTTAATTAATTAGTTCTTTTACGGCTATGTAAACATATGTGTGTAGAATGTTTACATCTATATTAAACATATCGGTGTACGATTTGTTCAATAGACTATGACATATTAATTTTAATAAATTAGTTCTTTTACGGCTATATTAAACACATATGGTGTAGAATGTTTACGTCTATATTAAACATATCAGGTGTACGATTCGTTCAGTGGACCATGACCGTTATTATTTTAATTAAATTAGTTCTTTTACGGCTATATTAAAACATATGGTGTAGAATGTTTACGTCTATATTAAACATATCAAGTGTACGATTATTCAGTGGATCATGATCGATATTATATTTAATTAAATTAGTTCTTTTATGGCTATATTAAACATATATTGGTGAGAATGTTTATGTCTATATTAAATATATCAGGTGTACGATTCATTCAGTGGACCATAACCGATATTATATTTTAATAAATTAGTTCTATTACGGCTATATTAAACATATATGGTGTAGAATGTTTAGTCTATATTAAACATATCAGGTGTACAATTCGTTAAGTGGACTATGACCGTTATTATATTTTAATTAAATTAGTTCTTTTCGGCTATGTTAAACATATATGATGTAGAATGTTTACATCTATATTAAACATATCGGGTGTACGATTTGTTCAAAGACTATGACCGTTATTATATTTTAATTAAATTAGTTCTTTTACGGCTATATTAAACACATATGGTGTAGAAAATTTACGTCTATATAAACATATCAGGTGTACGATTCGTTCAGTGGACCATGACCGTTATTATATTTTAATTAAATTAGTTCTTTACGGCTATATTAAACATATATGGTGTAGAATTGTTACGTCTTATATTAAACATATCAAGTGTACGATTCATTCAATGGATCATGATCGATATATATTTTAATTAAATTAGTTTTTACGGCTATATTAAACATATATGGTGTAGATGTTTATGTCTATATTAAATATATCAGGTATACGATTCATTCAGTGGACCATAACTGATATTATTTTTAATTAAATTAGTTCTTTACGGCTATATTAAACATATTGGTGTAGAATGTTTACGTCTATAAAACATATCAGATGTACGATTCGTTCAGTAGACCATGATGTTATTATATCTAATAAATTAATTCTTTTATGGCTATATATAAACATATATGGTATAGAATATTTATGTCTATATTAAATATATCAGGTGTACGATTCGTCCAGTGGACCATGACCGTTATTATTTTGATTAAATTAGTTCTTTTCGGCTATATTAAACATATATGATGGAGAATGTTTACGTCTATATAAACATATCAGGTGTACGGTTTGTTCAGTGGATCATGACCGTTATTATATTTTAATTAAATTAGTTCTTTACGACTTATAAACATATGATGTAGAGTGTTTACGTCTATATTAAACATATCAGGTGTACGATTTGTTCAGTGGACACCTAAACCGTTATTATATTTTAATTAAATTAGTTCTTACGTCTATAATAAACATATGTCCATAAACATGGAAAAAAATATTGAATAAATTACCCTTAATCGCTTAAGCGATCTCGTCTATTTAGCCTTGGTCTACAGAGTGCAGAGCAGATGGTTGTAGAGTTCAATTTTATATCAATATTATTTTTTTTATATTACTTTCTTGCCAAGAACAACAAAAAAATAGAATAACAAAGATTTTTAGTTTTATGTATGGTGCTGATTGACAAAGACCGAAGTGTTCTTTTCACATTCTATTGAAATTAAAAAAATAATTAATAATTAATAAAAAAGACTAAATATTAAATAATCATTATGGAATATAATTTCTCACCGAAGTATATGCTTATGCATCGCTTAAGCGATCCAGTATAGCTTAAGCGATCTAGTACAAATAAGTCTGATCGCTTAAGCGATCTGCTGCCATATACCAAACTTATACCAGATCGCTTAAGCGATCTTCTGTCATATACCAGATCGCAATCATCAGATCCAAAACACATTTCAGCCATCTCCACCTACAATCGGTCCATCATACCCAAAACACATACCCAGAACAAATTTTCAACAAAAATTCACTCCTTTCAACCTGCATTACATCAAACACAACCCACAACCTAAACAAATAATCAAAATCATAACCCAAACCCCATCCATTATTAAATCTTTGTAAATCTAAATATAAAATGTAAAGAGGAGATACACATATTTACACGAAATGTCAGGAAGATGAGGAGGGGGATCTTTGGCGGAGAAGATGTTAATGGTGGAGGAAGAAGAAAAGTGTTAACGGCGGAGGAACAAGAAGATATAGAGGAATGAGGAAGAAGAAGATGTAGAGGAAGAAGGAAGAAGAAGATGTAGACGAAGAAGAAGATGCAGACGAAGAAGAGATATAGACGAAGCTAAGAAGAAACAACAACTAAGGTGGAGATGCGTTAATGGCGGGAGGAAGAAGAAGGTGTTTGGGTTTGTTTGCAAGAATTTCAGGTTTTTGAGAATATAGTATAATTTTTAAAAGATTACATAATACTTCATTAATCCTAATTAAGCACTAATCAAGTTTAATTACCCTTAATCATAATATGGCTATTTAGTAAAATTTTAAAAATTGATAGCCTTTTAATTAAATTCAAAATGAAAGGTTGTTTTAATAAACTGCCCCAAACCTACATAAAGATTGATGATGATGGGAGAAGGGAGAAGGGATGTACACTTTATGGATTCAAATAAAAGGAAAGCAAAAGGTTAGGGGTCAGTCTTAATAAGAAGAAAATTTGGGGACATCAGAAAATACAATTTGATTTGAACGAAATGAATAAAAAGGACAAAAGTGAAAACTTGTTTAGATGAAGAATGGCTACTTTTCTCTGGACCCATCCGCATCTTCTTCATCATCATCATCATCAACCTTGGAGGCGCACTAATTTTCAAAATCGATCAATTAGTTTCTCTAATTCTTCTTATCTTCATCGTCCCCGCAGAATTTACTGTAACTACGATGATAGAGGCAGGAACCAGCAGCCTAATTCTAGTGGAATTCAACTTTACCGTGATATTGAGAGGTTCTTTTCTTTTCTTTTCTTTTTTATCATTTTCTAATAAATTTGTTATCAAAAGAAACTATTTTTGGATCAATTCAAATTGAATTTCTTTTGGCTAAGCTTTGTTCTGATGATGTCAAAGAGTTTTTTTGGTTATACTTAATTCATTCAAAACGTTTACCTTGTTAATTATTATAACTTCATAACATGACGCAAGTGCTTTGTTCTATTTTCAGATTACTTACAGAGACGGTGCAGCAATCACAAGATGCATGGGGTGGTTCAACACACTGGACTGAAGTTGAGGTGTTGTTTCATTACTTATAGGTTTTTGCTTCATAACTTCGTCAATATATTTTCCTGTTACTATTTATACTTTTTGTTTATAAAATTTTCCCTCTTACATCATCCGCTTGTAAATTTTTCTACTAAGTTTTTTAGGTTCATATGGTTTTATTTTCTTGAATTTCTTAGTAGCAGATTTTTACCTGCAGTTACTTCTGCTAGTTTTATTGAAGGTTGCACCCATCCTGATAGCTTAAACTTTTTAACTGTATCTCAACAGCCCTCACCATACTTGTAACTAGATAAATAGCAGTAGAGTAACTGTTGACTATGATATATTGAAACTTTGGGTTTCAGCTTGGTTCAGACCAACTTGAGGACAGAAGCCTAGACTTTGATGGACCACTTTCCTAACATAAGTTATCTTCCTATATGATCTTTAAAAATAACACAACAATTACAGTTGTCAGGAAATTGCCAAAAGAACACCCATGAAATACATGCAATAACTCTAAGCTTTAGCATAAGAGATGCTGGAACCCTTTGACAATACGGCAACTGAATGCTATATGTAAATCACTATTTTATTCTTGTATATTGTCCCATACTCAAAACCCAGAATACTACTGCATCAGGGAGATAACAAAAAACGAACATGTGCTGCAGAAATTATTGGCCAATCTTAACAATTTCTGCCAAATAGCTAAATAGAAGTCCATCGCCAATACAGACAATTACAAGATTTAACTATGCAAAATATTATGATTTCAGATCAACTCACTATAGATTTCCAAAGAAATTTTAGAAAGGTAATGCATGTGGAATGTCATATTTGAAGGTTAATAAAAAATTTCAGGAATTCAAAACCTGAGATGAAGAACAGTGCATATGTCTCAGAGCAATGGCATGTAATGAGTGACACAGATTTTTCTTTTTAATATTCAAAGTTTTTGTTTTAAAGGATGTTACCTATAACATAATTTAACTAGTCCACCATGACAACATCACAGGGAGCATGGGTTCTCAAACCTAGAAGCACTAAACCCTGGTCAGTGGTCCATTTCATTGGTGGTATATTTGTTGGAGCAGCCCCTCAGCTTACTTACCGTTGGTTTCTTGAGCGACTTTCAGAAAAGTAAGTTGCTATTACATATGAAGGTTGTTTATCTGCAATTTCATGCTCATCTCATAATTTATTAGCAGGTATAGGTTCTTCGATAGTGTATATGTGGTACTTGTTGCAGCATATATGATGTCTATTAATACAAGTTTTATGTCCAGTCGTAGTATACACTGTATACTTCTGCATCCCATGCATGATTAAAATGTTTTGCTAGTAAATTGAAATATTTCACTTCAGCTCATGGTTTTTACATCAGCTTGAAAATGCATTCCAGGTTACTGTTCTCTTTTCTGTTAACTCTTTTTACAATTATTGGTGGTGGACTCTAACATAATCATCTATGGCCTAGAACTAGGAAAATGATGATTTAATTCTGTTTTTGTGAGGTAGGGGTGTTTTGGTGATTGCAACTCCGTATCCTAGTGGATTTGATCACTTCTACATTGCTGATGAAGTTCAGTTCAAAGTTGATAGGTGCTTACGGTTTTTACAAGAAACAGTGAGTTTTGACTCATAATCTACAGACTAGCATTCTTCTTATCTAAGGCTTCACCCACACACTCCCACTCCCATAATGAAAAATACATTGAACTCAGAGATGCATCATATACAGGTACAAGATCTTCCTACTTTCGGCATGGGCCATTCTCTGGGATCTGTCATCCACCTCCTAATTGGTAGGTCAAGATCATCCTATATTGTAATACTTTAAGGAGGCAACTACTTTGGTTTGCAACAGTTCATAAGATCATTGACTTGACTGTGATCAGGATCAAGATATGCTGTGCAAAGAAGTGGGAATATATTAATGGCTTTCAACAACAAGGTACTTTAATTATTCATCATACATTAACTTAAAGAGGAGATCAATAGAGAGAAAGACATTCCATGGTCCCACTAAAACTTCCTTTTTTTTTTTTTTTTTTTTTTGCCTCAATTAGAAATCTGAGATGAATCGGTAATTAAACTAACAAATGAAGCACTTCAAAAGAGGTAATTAAACTAACAAATGAAGCACTTCAAAAGATCTACTAGTAAATTCTAGGGTGGGGCCATCCTTCTTTATCTGAATAAACAAATGGATGTAAACAGGAAAACTATTATCCTCCTTTTGTTCTATTAGGTTGCAGATATATTAGAGTACACTTAATTTTGGCTATTTACAAAAATGTTTATCATCCTAATAATCATACTCAGTAAGCTATCATCCTAAGATATGGACTATCTAAACTCTCTGTAACTGATTTGATTTCACTCATAATTACGCAGGAGGCAAGCTTAGCTGTCCCTTTATTCTCGCCTGTTATTGTCCCAATGGCCCAAAGTATAGGACCCCTTTTATCACAAATTGCAGAATCACCAACAATCCGCCTTGGGGTGAGAATCTGAGTTACTAAATCCTTTGGGTTTGAATAGTCATGAAGCATGCTATTAGAGCTTCTGTTTGTTTGTTTTTTTTATTTTTTCACTGCTGTTATTATCATCTCATCTTTTCCAATTAAGTTACAGCATGTTCTTTTTTTATGATATTTATGGGACAGCTCTTTATTGAAATTCGGTTAGGATATTCATAAAGAACCTGTATATGTACTTCTCATGATACTCTAATCTCCAAGGACCATTGATAGGAGGCTTATCCAGCTCTTCCTAGAATTCTCACTCACGCCCAGTCATAGCTTCACTTGCAGTAAAGTGTGCTTATCTCCCATGTTTTGAGGCTCTTTGACTTATGCGGCCAAAGTTCTTCTTTTGATTGGTTCTTTGTCTCTCAGATCTAATATTTCTCCAAACACTGTTAATACTAAAGGTGCTTTGACCTCAAGTTGACTGCTGGATTCTCTAATAGATGGCATATTCTCCTTTGTATTGTTATTTCTTCTTCGTCATCATCCACCTCCAGTATGAATTATCTCTTCTATTTTTACCTTTATCACTGACACAAAGTTGCATCTCGTAGTAGTACATGTTATGATCTGTTTACTTGTCATTTTGTCTAAAATCAACTTTGGATTTATAAAACTCTACTCACAGTAATGTAAAATTTTAGCATTATGAAGCTATTGCTGTGGTTATTTAAATTATTTAATGGTATGAGTCCATGGAGATATTAGCTTGATGTGAACAGTGCTCTTCCTGGTATATACTGTTTGAAAATTATGCTTCCTGCTTTCGCTTATTTTCGTCTCAACATATCTTCTACGTTTGCCTTGGTATTTCATCTATCTTTCCATAATTGAGCTTGCTAACCACTAGCATTTTCTAAACTGATGACCTTTTCTAATGGAATACTTGCAGGCAGAAATGACTTTAAAACAGATGGAAAACCTTAGCCCTCCCATCATGAAGCAAGTTCTTCCTTTAGTCGAGCAACTCCCTCCTTTGTACATGGACTTAGTAAAGGGAAGAGAAGATTTTACTCCCAAACCAGAAGAAACTAGACGACTTGTATGCTAAACCTCCAACTATTTATTCCCTCAAATGTTTTTAGTTATTAAAGTGATGAACGTGTTATTATTTTGTTAAGATTTCCTTATTTTTCAGGCATGTTTGACTTAGCTATTTTGTCAAATTTAACATAATGATCTTTTTACGTTCCATTACTCTCTTTTTTTCATACTTCTAGAATGGATTGAATATTACTGCAATAAACTGCAACTCCCTCTGAACTTCAGTTTTCTTTTTGGAACTTACATGCTTCTTCATGATTGATGCTTATTTCTTCTTCAGATAAAATCATACTACGGCATTTCCAGGAATCTTTTGATAAAGTTCAAGGATGATGGAATTGATGAAACTTCTACGCTAGCTCAGGTGCTTAGCTCAGAATCAGCTATCAGTTCAATGCTAGACATGTCAATTCGCTTGCTGCCAGGAGATCATGGGCTCCCTCTGCAACAGGTACCTTTCTACCAATATCAAATATTCATTTGAGCAAATCTTCATGGCTGTGAACCATACACATTTTGAAGATGTTTCTTGTGTTAATTTGAATATCCCTGGTTTTTGTTCATTTCTTGGTGAAAGAAGCAAACATCTTAAACGTTGCTCAATCTTGCAGGCACTCCCAGATGTTCCACCAGCAATGGCTGATGCAGTAAATCGTGGAAGCGAGCTTATTGCAAATCTAACTATCGGGACACCATGGGAGACAGTTGCCAAAGAAGTCGGCAATTCATTAGGTGTGGACTCAAGGATTCTGCGGGCAAATGTATCCAAGGATTTAGACCTTCTTGTGGATGTGATCACATCTTGGATGTCTTCAAACTCAGGTCCAAAACTTCTGAGGCCATGATATATAGGAGTGGATCACCAAAGCCAAACTACACAGAAAAAATATTTAAAGGTTGCTACAATTGAGAATATGGTGAAAGAATTGATGTGCATATATGTTAATTTTTCTGTACAGTTTTGTATGATATCAGGGCTGTCTATTCGTAAGTAAAACAAACAAACATGAATATCCACCAATTTGAAAGTTCTTGTACATGTTTATTCCACTTGATTGTGGCACAACACAACATGCTGATTGTTTGTAAGTGTAGAAATGTTAATACTATCATATTGCACATTGAGCATATGTAGTTTGAATCATATCACCGGGAAAATGATTGGATTTTTCCTTCCATTCATGTTAGGGCCTTCTACTTTTTTTCTCCTACACCTTCAAATTAGGGATGCCAACGAGTCAGGTTAGGGATTTGCGAAAGAAACAAAAAATTTAGACCTATCAAGGTTTTATTTGTTTTTCCAGATATGATCATTAGGGTTTGATATTCACAGCACAGGTCCCCGATTCCCCTGATGCATTACAAAAAAGGTGTTCTGTTTATCGAAGAAACATAGTTTGCCCCCTCTAACCCAAGTTTTGATGACTTCTATGATCACAATATAGAAGTACTCTACACATGAAACTACATATGAAACTGATGTTCCACCACAGGCTTCATATGTATAAGGGGCTGCCCAGGCGATAGCAGTACCCCCACAAAGTCCTTGATTGATTTGTGTATTGAGAAATTCAGTTCCACAAAATAATCAGAAGATGGTTCAATTTCCTCAATTCCACAAACCAAACTTGATAAAGCTGTGAATACTTCAAATATTTACACCAACTGGAAAATGTATATATTGATTATGACTTTGACTTCTCAACAAAGTAAACAAGTAACTAGTTATATCTCGTCGATAAATTTCTAATCAAAGTACACAAGCAACTACATATACATCGTGGAGAAATTTCTCAACAAAGTAAACAAACAACTAGATATATTTTGAGCAAGTCAACCTCCTCATATTGTCTACAGCATCTATTCTTCATGATAGAGATACAAGCCAAGACCAAACCGAGCACACGCTCTGCAGAAAGCTATTTCCTCTGCTGAAGCAACTGGGTCTACAATGTCACTGTCACTTGATGACACTGTCCCAGTTGACTCACGGTGTGCCTGTCACAGCATAAGATGTCAAAATTTATAGACACTATCAATGATGAATCAATCNTCCTTCCATTCATGTTAGGGCCTTCTACTTTTTTTCTCCTACACCTTCAAATTAGGGATGCCAACGAGTCAGGTTAGGGATTTGCGAAAGAAACAAAAAATTTAGACCTATCAAGGTTTTATTTGTTTTTCCAGATATGATCATTAGGGTTTGATATTCACAGCACAGGTCCCCGATTCCCCTGATGCATTACAAAAAAGGTGTTCTGTTTATCGAAGAAACATAGTTTGCCCCCTCTAACCCAAGTTTTGATGACTTCTATGATCACAATATAGAAGTACTCTACACATGAAACTACATATGAAACTGATGTTCCACCACAGGCTTCATATGTATAAGGGGCTGCCCAGGCGATAGCAGTACCCCCACAAAGTCCTTGATTGATTTGTGTATTGAGAAATTCAGTTCCACAAAATAATCAGAAGATGGTTCAATTTCCTCAATTCCACAAACCAAACTTGATAAAGCTGTGAATACTTCAAATATTTACACCAATTGGAAAATGTATATATTGATTATGACTTTGACTTCTCAACAAAGTAAACAAGTAACTAGTTATATCTCGTCGATAAATTTCTAATCAAAGTACACAAGCAACTACATATAAATCGTGGAGAAATTTCTCAACAAAGTAAACAAACAACTAGATATATTTTGAGGAAGTCAACCTCCTCATATTGTCTACAGCATCTATTCTTCATGATAGAGATACAAGCCAAGACCAAACCGAGCACACGCTCTGCAGAAAGCTATTTCCTCTGCTGAAGCAACTGGGTCTACAATGTCACTGTCACTTGATGATACTGTCCCAGTTGACTCACGGTGTGCCTGTCACAGCATAAGATGTCAAAATTTATAGACACTATCAATGATGAATCAATCATGTGATTAGTTTACACCACTCGAGGAAAATCTAGAAAATCAAATATGCTAAATCTGAAAGAATACAAGTTGAATTTTTGCAATTTCATGAATATCCTATTCCTTAGGCCAGTCCTAATGACACAAAATAAAACTACTCAAATAGATGCATAACAAAGAATATCAAACAAAGACCTGAACTCTCAGTACAAAATTCACAAATCACAAGAATTGTACTCCATATAAAACATATGGTCAATACAAATCACCGTAATAGGTTTTGCTATGAACCAGATATTAAACTGCCCCAAACATGAAACAAATAAATAACACAACTTCTACATATTTTACTTTCAATGAAGAAAAAATAAATTATTTGGATTTTAAAATGATTATCTCACAGATTTTGGAAGAGTGCCTAATGCCAAGGTGTACAAGCCAAAATTCTAATTATGTACTCTAATAAATTGTTTATAATCATTCGCATAATTATATACACATCGAGCAATGCTATTCTTAGAAAGGAACCTACCTAACTTTACATACAAATGATGTAACAACTCATTTGATATAGTTGTATCACTTATCACATCCAATTATTCATATAGTATTGTCAATTCAATTGTCACATCACTTGGGATACTTATTTTAAGTATAGGGCCTTTAACCCATAAAAGCATATCCCTAAAAGATTGTCATAAAATCCTTAAAACTAGTCTTATGCCTTCAGCTAAATGAGCAGAATGACACATTCAATTTTTGCCTTAACTGGTAACTGGAAAGAGAAAAGAAGTCTAATTTATCAAAATTAAAATTTCAAAATTGCCTAAATAGAGAACATATAAGCAAAAGGGAGGGCTCTTAGATTTCTTAGGGACAATGAATTGTTTTGAATAGATTCTAGTTTTAAACTTCCCATACAAATATTAAGTGCATTGGAAAAAAAAAGGGCTGAGTCTTCTGGGTCTGATGCCAGAAATTGAAAATTAAGAACATGAGAGTATCAAGATATCAACCAAAGGGCGTCTTCAAGGCCAGCTATAAAAATTTATTGTCAGCTTAACATTAAAAGTATGTGAACTATAATGGATTAAAAGCTTATGCTTTGTAGCTGGTTGATTTGAGAGAGCAGCGATATTGAATCATTAGTTCTTGCAAAAACTCCAAAAATCTCACAGTAGTTGAGAGCAAATCAAAACTATAAATGACTTTAATTAAAACCTTTCTCATCTATGATATTGCAATAGAGTTATGGAGATAAATGATATGAAATGAATAATTTGGTGTAAGAAGAAGACCTCTCCATCAGATCCTCTTATAGTGAGTCGGTAGACAACAGTGACATTCCCATTGTCAGAAAAGATTACATCTCGCACTTCTCCACACCATCCTGAGCCACAAAGTGGTAGCTGTTAATAAACAATCCTAAAAACAAATCAAAATCTAACATTACCGATGGCAGGGCTAGCACGGTAACCGGGGCAATTGCCCTTATTCCCATGTTAGAAATTTCTTCACATTACCAATTTTTTTCGAAACTTTGTAGAATTCGCCAAGTTAAACAAAGCATTTTGGTTATTTTAATTGCGATTCTGCTCCTCTCGCTTACATTTACATTTAAAAAAAAAAAAAAAAAAAAAGGACATTGTGATATTTAACTTCCATATTTTTACATTTACATTTTTTTTAAAAAAAAAAAAGGACATCACAATTTTAACTTCCACAATAAAAACATGAATATTAATCATATGCTGATTAACATGAAAAAAATTGAATGCATTTCTATAGAAAGTACTCATTTTAGGGATACTTATACTTGACAAGTATGTGATGTTTTCAATATGTGAATATCTGGTGAAGTTAGTTTTGAATATTATTGGTTGATCTTGACAATTATTATGTTTAGAGAAAGAGGTACAAACCAGGCGCATAGAAACTCATCATCCTGTTGGCATGATACCTACAAACCAAAAAAAAAAAAAAAGATCAAATTAGATCAGATCGGATCAAAACATGAAACAACAAATCATTAAAAATGAGATTCCTACCAAGGAATGGATTTATCAAGAGGATTGATGACGTTATCAGGGATCCTCTTATTGAGATCTCGTAGAATTTCAGCGAGCGGACGAGTGATACAGGAAGAATTGGAGGGAGAGAAGGACTTGTTGAGCGGCACCACATAGTTGGAATTGGGAACTCCTTTTTTACTACTCTTACTATTTTCACTTCCATTGGCGTTCCCACTGCAATACGCAACTCCTGACCATCCGATTCTCCTGCTCTGATTCACTCTTACGAGATTGTTAGTGAAGCAGGTCGATGAGGATGATGATCTCGGGTGCAGCACAGCGGCGGCGTTTTTGGTGTTGGTTTGCAAATGCAATTGCAGTGCCATGGCTGAATTGCAAATGCAATAGGAATTGGTAACAAGATTCAACCTAGAATTTGTTGTTGGTGGTGGTCTTAATCTTATTTTCAACTGTCTCACGCAAACGTAATTGCAATTAAATAATTAATAAAATAAAATGGTTATTGGGTATTTGTATTCCCATTGACACACACAAATAATATCTCAACCAAACCCCTCGTGTCTGTGGTGTGGTAGCTGCAGCTGGCAGTCCTTTCTTTTCTTTTAAAACAAAACAAAACTGCCTCTTTTTAGGGTATACCTCAATCTCAAACATTACATATAATTACATTTATCCCCAGGCTTGGGTCCAAAGTCCAATATCGACAGGTACTTTTTGATCCTATGTTGAAACTATTAAATATATATATATATATATTTTTTTTTTTAACAGATATTAACCTTTTTAAGGATGAAATAGGTAATTCACGCAAAATATTGTTTTAAAATTAGAATTTGACAAGTAAGAGGCGGTTATATTCCTAATATTTTAAAGCTAGGCCAAAAATTTACAACCACCAACCACAATATTTTTTTAAAATAAATCTTCAACAGAAGAAGCATGCCACGGTCTACTAAATGTCAAGTCAAAGTGGGTGAAAATATACTAAACACATCAAATAAAACTCTTCTAAACCGGAGCTGGGTCTGGTGACGTGGGTGAACGCAGACCTTATTTCTGGTAAGCAGCACAACTGCATGCCATAAAGAATGACTCTTCAATTCTCAATTTTGGCACAGCAAGAGAAATCCTTATAATCAGCTCAAAATATCATTATTAATAATTTAATAGAGAAATGTCTTGCCATAACGAATTAATTTTATATTGATGATCCTAGCTTTCTTTTTATCTATCAACATTGGACACTTCCACTAGTTAGTACAGAATTTCTTCAAAATTTGCGAGAAGCCCGTTATCAGTCTTTCTCGGTTAAAAAGAGTGAGATTTACATATCCATGATCACCACCAGTGAGACATACATCATATAACCACCGTAGTACAGTTGCCCATCATCAAATCACGTTGGAACCTTTGTCCCCTGTTGGAAAGAAAATAACAGTTATATGAAGTTCTATTCTACCAGATAGCAATTTAAATCCAGCAAAGAATAATTCCTACCATACCCAGCCTTGTATGAAAAACTAGCTCCACTTCTTTACGGAGGGCTTCCAAATCCATAGCATAATCTCTTTGATATTCCTCTAGCATTAAATCCCGCAGCTGCTGCCTTAACCTCTCCAAGGCAGTATCCAAACCACAAAAGTCCTTTAAAACCAGGGCTTNTTTTTTTAAAATAAATCTTCAACAGAAGAAGCATGCCACGGTCTACTAAATGTCAAGTCAAAGTGGGTGAAAATATACTAAACACATCAAATAAAACTCTTCTAAACCGGAGCTGGGTCTGGTGACGTGGGTGAACGCAGACCTTATTTCTGGTAAGCAGCACAACTGCATGCCATAAAGAATGACTCTTCAATTCTCAATTTTGGCACAGCAAGAGAAATCCTTATAATCAGCTCAAAATATCATTATTAATAATTTAATAGAGAAATGTCTTGCCATAACGAATTAATTTTATATTGATGATCCTAGCTTTCTTTTTATCTATCAACATTGGACACTTGCACTAGTTAATACAGAATTTCTTCAAAATTTGCGAGAAGCCCGTTATCAGTCTTTCTCGGTTAAAAAGAGTGAGATTTACATATCCATGATCACCACCAGTGAGACATACATCATATAACCACCGTAGTACAGTTGGCCATCATCAAATCACGTTGGAACCTTTGTCCCCTGTTGGAAAGAAAATAACAGTTATATGAACTTCTATTCTACCAGATAGCAATTTAAATCCAGCAAAGAATAATTCCTACCATACCCAGCCTTGTATGAAAAACTAGCTCCACTTCTTTACGGAGGGCTTCCAAATCCATAGCATAATCCCTTTGATATTCCTCTAGCATTAAATCCCGCAGCTGCTGCCTTAACCTCTCCAAGGCAGTATCCAAACCACAAAAGTCCTTTAAAACCAGGGCTTCTATTGTTCTGAGTTGCAGTAGATTCTTAATCGCAACAAGGGCCTGTACCAAAATGAAATTAAAACGAATACATCCAATCAAAATAAAGCTTTAATCTTAACTCTAAGTAACATTTGCTGAGCAAAGTTTTTGCTAACATCATGCATATGCTTAAATATCAGTTATATAGATATGGTTCTTATTAAAAATATTCACATTCCAAGTTCAAAGTTATCATTTCAGCAACCAAAGCAGCACTGCCAACAATGCATGGACATGTGTGGAACACTAAAAACCAGAAGAAATAAGTTCAAGAGACACCTTCTCCTGTAGATCAAGATCAGTTGATGCTGTTAGATCAACCACAGACTTCAAGAACAAGCGATTACTGAAAAAAGGCAGCTCCACTTTGTGCATATTTTCTAATTGACACTCAGCCAACTCAGCAACAAGAAACACAGCTTTTCTACGAAGTCTGATGTCAATGCTTGAGTTGCTCAGTATGTCCTGAAAAATATTAATCATCAATTGTAATAGTTAGGGAAATAAGTTACTTTATATACACAATTTCTTCATTCTCCCTTCTCTAATCACCTGAAGCATCAAATCTCCAGCTTCAGCATAGAACAATTCCTGACCAGCTACATTATTTCGAATCAAGGCTGAAACAGCATATAGTGCTTTTACAGCTTCTTCTACGAAACTAGATTTTACCATCTTCATTAGCTTTGACAGCGCTCCAAGATCAAGGACCTAAGACACTTAAAATTATTGTTAATAAGTTTTTATTTCGCATGTCTCATTCAAACCAAAAGTCAAAATCCTCAAACACGTTTATGATCATATTCTGCTTTGCAAATATAATTAAGCCAAAAAGGTTACACCTGTTGAAAAATAACAGAAAAAGCAAACTACCTGCTTCTGAACAAATGGGTTATTTTGACTGGCTTTCCCAAGAATCCATGCAGAAACTTTCCTTATATCTGTGTCCGGGTGATTAAACTCTCGTACAAGCACAGCAAAGCCCCCAAGTTTGCTCAGATCTAAGAAACACAAGATTAGCTATGAGAGCCACTAATTTGAGTAAAAGAAAAAAATAACATGAGGACACCCCAATATTTGGGAGACCCTAGAACTCAGAAAAGGATTTGTTACATAAAGAACTTCAGTGTAACAATGCCCTGAAAGCATTTATCATCAGCTGCTGTGCAGATATGTACACTAACTTCCCATCTTTCTAACAAAAGAAGAAAAATGGAATTCAATGGCATTACGGTTACACTCTCCAGCACAGTACTTAGGTGATACTTCTAATTTAAGAAAGAAATTTTCTGTGCAAAGACCCATCAATCATAGCACATTAAGTTATCAGAAAATGTCTGCCGTTTGAGCTCCTTATAGTGAGCAATGTCAGCACAAGAAAATTATTGGAACATATATTTTGACATTTCTTCATTCAAGTTTTTAGCTTTTATGGAAAAACGTGTGCTTATGTAAAAGCATGTGTTTATGAGGAAAAGAAGTAGCTTAAGGAGTGCTTTTGTAAATCAAATAGAAAAGCAATGGTTAAAAATTAGCTTAAGGAGTGCAAGTAAAAATACCTTTGCGAATTATTTCAACCGTTTAAAATTGCTACCTCAAGTTCTAACATCAATGTCAGGAGTCTAATGCTCATCTCAGGAAATTGCAAGACAAACGGAATAGGCCAAGTGGATTGATAGGGTGGCCAAACAAAAACCCTTAGGTGCCCAAGTTATCAGGTGAATCATTAATTATTAAGACTAATACCCTTTTTGGAATGTGTTTATATATTTTAAGTGTTTGTAGAATAAATTTAGTACATAGGAGTGCTGATCTCCAATTTGTGCAGTGTTCACATTTGAAGGATGTGATATGGTAGTACCTTTAATTTATCACAATACTAAATTGTCAAGGAATGAACCCATAATATAATTGTAATATATTCATCTCTTTTAGTAATATCACACTCTTCTAATTCATCCACTAAATAAAACAAGAGAATTTTCAATTTGAAAAAAAACAACCGTAAATGTTATAGAATTGCCACAAATTTCTAATTCTATCCCCAAAATTCATTACCCACCTTTTTCACATTTGTCATATCAAACATCTTCAATATTCAAGAGATGATAATTTTTCCAGAGGAGACAAATACTCACACTTAAAAGCTTTCATAAGTAGAAACTTTCTCAGCTGAGTTAAAGATACCATCGAATATGAGAAATGACCATATAGCTTTGCCTTCATGCTAATGTACATCTAACTTCACTATATTAAAAGGTTGTTTTAAGGCCTCAAAAAGTATTTCATCATTCTCATTCATATTTATGCTTTAAATGTGGGTGAAGCTAAGGGAGGAAACTAAAAAATAAGTGAAACGTCATTTCCAGAATTATTTGCCTCGTTTATGAAAATCTTTATTCCTTGAATTGCTTATGATAACAAATATGAAAAGAGTGGATAATGAATTTTTGGGAATACAAATAAAAAGCAGTGGCACTATCACATCATTAATTTTTTTTTCCCCAAATTGAAAACTCTCCGATTTAATTTGTACGAATTGGAAACTCTTCAATTTAATTTGGATGAATGGGAAGAGTGGAATATACTTAAGAGAAAAAATATTGGAAATATATTAAGGCTTCATTCCTAACCATTGGGAATCAGGATAAATTAAAGGAACTCTTTATTCACTGCAAAGTTAGATATTAGTGACTACTCAATTCTATGAGAACACTACAGAAAGGAGGAGAGTACTGGCACAACCTCATTTGGTGCCTCCCTTTCTAATACTAAGGAATTTAGCTCCACTAAATTTATTTTCCCAAATGCTTCAAAATGCACACAAACACAATGCAAAGTAGTATTTAGGCCCTAGGCCTAGTAATGAAAAACTGTTTTACTGACTCGAGTGTTAAAGGAAACCATTGGCCACCCTGACCTTTTCTATTTGTCTTGCCATTTCTGGAGATGGAAGCACTATTTTCCCAAAAGAAGCATCAAGCACTATTTTCTACTTGAACTAAGTTTAGACATATTTTGGCCACCATTTTTTGTTGATAAAAGAAAGTAACCCATACTCTACTTCCTTTCCCCATAAACACGTGGTTTTCCATAAAAGCAAAAAACCATTATCAACAACATTAAAAACAACACAGTAAACTATATATTCAAAGTTCATATTCATTGTAGTGTGTATGTGCATTAAGATAAAACAGAAGAATCATACATACCATTTGCGTTATCTATGGGCTCAACAAGAATCAAAAGCTCCTGCAATGCACGGTGGCGATCTTCTAAAGATAGAGAAGAATTATTTAAATCATCTATCGCAATTTGCATCAACTGTGCATCTGATGGCATTTTCAACTTCTCCATGAGTTCCTGTGTCAGCACTAAAACAAACATCAAAATCTGAAACGTGCTAAAAATAGTAAAAGCAGTTATCAAACATGAAAAATCCACTTGGCACAGCTGAAATAATTGGTGACAAACATAAATCAATAGTGTTTCAGCACAAGAATTATTATTCTTAAAATAGGCCAAATTGAATTAGCTTTGAAGAGAAGATGTTTGACCTTTATTTCCATTTGACGCTTCTTGAGCTCAGAAGGAGATAAACGCTGGACATCTTGCGCGGATTCCTTCAACTTAGCTGGATCAGAATGACCTAAGAACAAGACGAAACGGAATAAAAATAAAAATAAAAATAAAATTATTAGAATTAAAAATAGAACTAACAATTAGTTAAGTAACCGTACCTATGGCCCACTGTAACATTCCATCAAGAGAAGAAAAACCGCCGTCAAGCTGATCAGGATCGCTGACAACAGAAGGCGCCGAAGAATCGTCGTTAGGTTCAGTCTTACGCAACAGATCCTCCTCTTCTTTGGCAGTGGACCAAAATAGACTTGCCGAAGATGAGTTATTTTCACGCTCCGCCGTCACCGCCGCCGTCAGTAAGAATAATAGACATAGAGTAAGAGAGTGACATGTAGCTCCACTCCGTCGCCTCATGGAAATAATCCAGATACTATCACCGCCAAACCACGTAGCTTCTTTTTTCAATAATCGATTCGTGAAGTTTGTTGCTCTCGCTTTCACAATTTTATAAGCTTGTGTTCGATTGTTAATTTACACGTCATCTCCTCCAATCGAAACCGTTAATTTCCCATCTAACGGTACTAGATCCTTCTCTACTATTACATTTTGATTTTTGATATTATTGGATGTTTATATAGAAATTAAAAATATATGAAAAATAAGCTATTGATACAATATTTAAAATAAATTTAAATTAGAAAAATTGTAAAAATAAAAATTAATATGGTACTTTATATAAGAAAATTAATTTTAAATGAAAATAAACTAGTGTTAAAAGTTGATAAAATAAATAATTTTAGAAATTTAATAATCCAAGAACCACGCCCAAAATGGGAACAAACACCAGCACTAAGTATTTGAAGAAGCAACCAGTTAAAACTACTTGTGAAAAAGAGTAAACGATTTTTTCCCACCTAAGGTTTGCCTTAATGACACTTTCGCATCCAACAAGTTTCAAAATACCATTTTCCCAACCAAAGTTTTCATTAACATCCAAAATACACTTCATTTTCTTAACCGGTGTTCAACGAGTTACCATAAGTCAGAGTAAAAGAAATTCTGTAGAATAGAGACCGATGGATCGAATAGTGATGACTGATTGAATATTGACAACTAAAAATCAACTAATAACAGAGAACCTTAACTTTGTGATGGTTAGCAATTGACAAAAGATCAGGTACTGAAGTGAAAAGAGTTTTGTAAAGAGGAGACAGAAGGTTCAAATGGTGGTGACGAGAGAATTTTCGCCACCGAAATCAACTTTGAGTAGTAACAGAATATTAACTTTGAGTGGAAAAAATGGTATTTTGAAACTTTGTTGAGTGAGAAAGTATCATTAAGGCAAACCTTCGTTTACCCTTGTAAAAAGATACCTGTACATATAAAATAGAGGGTGCAACATACCAATTCCAGGTAATTGATGATCATTTACAATTTATATTTATATGGATGAGAGATGAACACCCGAAATTCACTACCATCCATCAGCAATGGATCGTCGCCTTTTACCGTAAAGCACATAACTTCTCTATTGATGCTCATCAGTATTTGCCGGAGTTATAAGGAACACTAAGATTCACGGATCTCCACTTTCCTCTGAACAAAATACAATGACTTGAACACTTCAGACCAGAAAATTTCACCTAAAATAATGGACAGTAATTTACAATAAAATTCAGTTGATTTTAAATTTCCGATCAATACTTTAGAATAAGGAATCTTTCTTGCAAATTTAATTCACTACCAAGTGTTCCCAGTGTCACATGAAAACCAACATAAAGAGATATTACAAATAGGAGCTATAGACATAACCCNTACTTTATATAAGAAAATTAATTTTAAATGAAAATAAACTAGTGTTAAAAGTTGATAAACTAAATAATTTTAGAAATTTAATAATCCAAGAACCATCTAAAGTATTTGAAGAAGTAACAAGTTAAGGGTGTGTTTGGTTTATTATTTTGAATAGGATTTTAGGGATAGTATTGGATAGTTAGATAGAGTTATTATTACAAGGTAAATTTTAAAAATTTACCAAAAAACCCATAAGTTTACTAATTTAACTAAATACTCCCATATATAAATTTTTTGTAAAATAACAAAAACACCACCACCACTCACAATTTCCACCAATACTTTAGAATAAGGAATCTTTCTTGCAAATTTAATTCACTACCAAGTGTTCCCAGTGTCACATGAAAACCAACATAAAGAGAGATTACAAATAGGAGCTATAGACATAACCCAAAACATTCACTTTCAAGTCTCAAAAGCATGTTTCAATCATCTTCTCTTTCAGGGAGCAGGCCGCAAGGCAAGAGCACTTTCTGCACATACGGATAGAAAGAATGAACATTAGGGAATTTCCATCAGTAAGTTAAGATTTAAGAAGAGTAAATGAAACATTTATTAAGGGTTGTGAACTTTAACTTACAAAGCTTGAAAAGTTAGACACAGAATATATAACCATTCATTCTATTTTTAATCCAATGACTAAAATCTAAATGCCACTACCCAATAACATCATGCATAATTGGATTAAAAGGGGGTGCTAAAGACAATCATCAACACCATTCATTCTATTTAATCCAATCATTAAAATCTAAAAGCGGCTACTCAATAACATTGTGCATATCTGGATTAAGAGGGGTGCTACAGACAATACTCAACACCATTCATTAGTACAGTTACTACCTCCTTGACCTGTTTCACTTACAAAATAACACTTTTATCTATTTATTTGCACCTTAATATCTAAATAAGAACTCAAAGAGAGTCTTTAGAGAGGTGGTTGCACAATGCGTGCAGCACACACATGTTGACATGGCCTCCACGATCTGACAGATATAATTTCACAAACTCATTATCTATCTATTGACAATATCACAACCATGCCATCCAACAAATCAAGCTTGCTTAATGCTTCAATTGCTATAAAGCCAAGTTCCAAACTGTTATTTTTCAAAATGTATTAACATACTTTAGATGACATCATTCCAATGAATATTTAAAATTCTCTCTGTTCTCCACTACTCCTTTATTTACTCACAACATTGATAATTTTTCTTATCTCTTCTCCCTTCTTAAACTTTTTATTATTCCTTTTAATAAGAAAAAATCAGTTTCACTTTGTACTCCCAAACAAGCAAGAATTACTTAGATAGATAAAAAGCAAATTAAGATTTCAATGGTAGGCAACTAGTGCATACTTGCACACATAGAAAAAACATGCAGACAATACAGATGAATTATAAACATCATGCGTATACACAACGCCATGTCAATGTCACTTGTAATAAATAGGTGAAGTCCTCATCTTATAGTGACCAATACTGTCACATGATTGTGCAGTTAATAATCATTTACAAGCTATTCCCACCGTTATTAAATGATTGCTTATGATGAATACCTCCCTCGCAAATCCTTTCTCACACCCAAACAATCCAGAACACAAGAATACACCTCCAAACTATTCAATATACAGTAAACAAAGCAACAATTCACAAATAGCAAAATGGCATGAAATGAAGATAAGTATCACTGTAATATTGCGAATAAACGGAAACAAATGGAACAAATGAAAAGACAGACTGGTCTTCGAGGGCCAGCACCTCCCAGGACAGACACCAACACAAATCTCAGAATTCCTCCTACAAACTCTCATGCTCTCCTTTTTTTTGACACTCAGATCCTAACTACCCTTGCCACCTGTCCATAGCACCCAATTTCCCCTTTTGTCCCTCCTTAGCCCTTTGTTTATACCTAATTGAGATATGATAAACCAGCCATACTAAGGTTTACAACCGTAAAGGGCATATTAGACATAGGAAGGTTGTTAAGGGAGCAGGGTCCACAAGGTACAGTGTCATGGATGAGAGTCTGTGTTGAGAATAGAATTGCGTGAGTAAGGGTAATTGTGGAAAGAACTGTATATAAGAGCAGCGAGGGTCTTGCAGCAGGGGTATCTTTTTTGGCATTGATAAAACAGTGGAGGTTCCTGACTCCTCGAAATGCCAGGGTTTTTGGGTTACATTCCAATCATCACATATCATTTCTGTTTCATTCAAGTTATCAGATTAATACAAATTGTGCTGAGTTTTTATCAGTTCTGTTCTTGTTGTTCTGGTTATGGATTGACAGTGAGTGTGTGAGAACTGTTGCCTTTTGGTTGTGGTTTTAGTTTGTTTGCAGGTGTACTGTATCATTGGTATCAGAGCTAGGTTGGGGAATGGTCAAATCCAAGATGGAGAATAGGATGGATAATGTGGAAAGGGAGATGAGTACGGTTAAAGAAGACATTGGAACTTTGAAGATTGATATGGGTAGTGTGAAGGAATACTTGATAGAAATGAGAGAATTATTGCGCATGAGAGAAAGAGAAGGAAGAAGAGCCAGAAAGGGAAAATCATCTTCATCCGCAGAGACTTGAACTCCAGTAGAAACAAGGAACCAGATCGGGACGACAGTGGGAAAGAGGATAAAAAGAGTACCCGCAAGCTTGAGTTGCCAATCTTTAATGGCGAAGACCCATTTGGATGGTCCTTCACAGCGACCGTTACTTCACCATCAACCGTTTCAGGAAACAAAAATGGTGGAAGCACAGTTTGCATGGAGGAAGAGCACTGAGCTGTATCAATGTTCGAATCCAGAGCACCATTCCAGTCGTGGAGAGTTCAAAACGCATTGATCGATCGTTTTCGCCTTCATTTAAGGGATCCTCATATAGGGCTTTAGTAGCCTTGAAGCAAGATGGGACGATACAGAATATAGGGAACAGTTTGAAGCCAATGCCGCGCCATTGAAGGATCTGGGTGAGGATCTGTTAAAAGGGATATTTGCGAATGGGTTAAAGGAAGAAATGAAAGCTGAGTTCATCTGTCTCAGCCAATTCATTGTTTGGGCTAATGGATCAGGCCCACAAATTGAGGAAAGAAATTAGGTGCTGGAAAAACAAAGGCCCAGGGTGTTTAAAATCAAATGGGCCGTGAAGGCATATTCGCGGGTCAGCCCAAACCCGGAAATCTCACGCCCTAAACTGGTGGACTCCAACGCAAAACACCAGATTCCTTTGCGTTTTCGTCAATACCGTAAACCACCTGACGACGAGAGAGGGCGACTGAGTCTGTGGGTGTCCGTCAACCGGAGGCCAACTTCCCGACTCTCCGATGCCGACTCCAGTCAAGCGAGAGCGTGGTCTCTGCTACCGTTGCGACGAGAAATTCGGGCCAAATCACAAGTGTAAAAACCGATCTCTGCAAGTTTATTACTTTTGGATGATGAAAATCAAACCCACCTGAAATGAGAACAGAAACTTACGAAATGCCATCGGTGAAGGTAAATCTCTTGCTCTTTCCATTAACTCTATTGTGGTATTGCGTCAGGGAAAACTTTGAATTAAAGGGGGAGATTGGGAGTGAGAGTGTGGTGGTGTTGGTGGATAGTGGGGCTTCCCACAATTTCGTGTCCCATGAGGTTGTACAGAAGCTGGGATTAAGATGGATAAGGGAGACCCTTTGGAGTCATGGTTGGAGATGGGTGTACTTTTCGGGGAGAGGGATTTGTAAGGATGTGAGACTGAAACTTCAGGGATTGAGATACAGCAGGAGTTTTCCCCGTTTGAATTAGGAGTGCAGACGTTGTTTTGCGAATTACGTGGTTGAGTAGTTTGGGGGATGTAAGTGCCAATTGGAAGAGATTACAATGGAATTTGTCTGGAATGGCAAGAGTAAACTGAGAGGGATCCTCAACTGGTAAAGACTGAAGTCTCTCTAAAAACCGTAGTCAAGTCTGTGCAGGCTGCGGGAACGGGCTACGTAGTGGAATTTGGAGCCATAGGTCTTAAGGAAGAACCAACGCAGGAGGAAACTGACCCGGGAATTCTGGAGGTGATGAATAGCTACCCAAAATTGTTTGACCAAGATCCTAAATTACCACCCCATAAGACCCATGACCACCCATAAAACTCCACCCAGGGTCCAAACCACCCAATATCAGACCCTACAAATACCCGTACTTTCAGAAGAATGAAATCGAAGGCTGGTTGAAAGAATGTTGACTGCGGAATTATACAGCCTAGTGTTGTCCTTACCCAGCCCTGTCTTACTTGTCAAAAAAAAGATGGAGTTGGCGATTTTTGTTGATTATCGGGCATTAAAAGACATTACAATACTCGATAAATTTCCGATACCGACCATTGAAAGTTATTGGACGAATTGCTAGGGCAACGATTTTCACAAAACTCGATCTCAAGTCCGGATACCATTAAATTAGGGTGCGGGAGGTGACGTTCCCAAGACACCTTCCGCACAAGAGGGACATTACAGTTCCTTGTGTGCCTTTCGGACTCACTAATGCACCCTCACTTTTCAAGCCTAATGAACTCAATTTTCAGACCCGTCCTTCGTAAATTCATCCTGGTCTTCTTTGATGACATCCTTGTGTACACGCCCTGCATATCAACCCACATCCAGCATTTACAACTAACTTTTCGATTTTGCAGGAACACCAGCTGGTTATCAACAAAGAAACTCGTTTGGCCAATCAAAACTGGAATATTTGGGTCATCTGTTTCAGCAAAGGGAGTGGAGGCAGATCCGAAAAAGATCGGCCATGGTATCTTGGCCGCGACCTATGAATGTAAAGGGTTGAGAGGTTTTCTTGGACTGACAGGGTATACCGGGGTTCGTAAAGGTTATGGTTCAATCGCATAGCCCCTTACTCAGCTACTTAAAAGGACTCCTTCACTTGGAATGATTCGCCAACTACTTTGATCGGCTCAAGGAAGCCATGACTACTGTCCCAGATTTAACAGTACCATATTTCACTCTTCCCTTTGAAATTCAGACGACGCATCTGGAAGAGGCTCGGGGCTGTTTTGGTGCAGCAGGCTCGACCTATAGCTTTCCTCAGCAAGGCTTTTTCCCCGACAGCCAAGCTAAATCGGTTTAGGACCGAGTTGATGGCATTGTTTTTTCTCAAGAAATGGAGTCACTACTTACTTGGCAGAAATTCATAATTAAGACGATCAGCACAGCCTCCAGTTTTTAACAGACCAACGATCGAAAACCCCGGAACAACACAAATGGATTTCCAAGTTGATGGTTTTACCTTCGAATTCAGTACTACCCAGGAGCTTCCAACCGAGTAGCAGACCTCTTTCAAGAAGGGAAGATGGGACTGAATTGGCACACTTGTCAGCCTTATCTGCGGTACAGTTCTCAGATTTAATACATGGGCTTCGGGGACACAAACAGATCCAAAACTCAAGGAAGTCATCCAAGACCTTCTCCTTGACTCTTCTAGTCGACCCAACTACCGTCTCCGCAAGGGCTGCCTCTTCTATAAGGACAGGTTAGTTATTCCAAAGACGTCCAGATTTGTCCCCATATTACTGGCCGAGTTCCATCAGAGTCCTAGTGGCGGCCACTCAGGTTTCTTCAGAACGTACAAGAAAGTCTCTTCAGTAGTTTATTGGGAAGGTATTCGGGGGGATATACAACACTTCATCAAAGCTTGCACTACCTGTCAACTTAATAAACATTCCTCATTAAAACCGGTAGGCCTTCTACAGCCTCTTCCCATTCCAGAACAGGTTTTTGAGGATCTATCTATGGATTTTATCGGAGGGCTACCACGCTCGAAAGGAGTAAATAGAATCTTCATTGTTGTTGACCGCTTGACCAAGTACAGCCATTTTTTCTGTCTTGGTCACCCTTACAATGCAAAGGATATGGCTGCCATATTCGTGAAAAACGTGGTCAGGCTCCACGGATTCCCTAACTCCATTGTTTCTGATAGAGACAAACTGTTTATGAGTCAATTTTGGCAAGAGTTATTCAAGACCGCCGGTACTGTTCTGAAATTCAGTTCGGCTTACCACCCACAGACCGATGGGCAAACAGAGGTGGTCAATAGATGTCTCAAAGCGTATCTCCGCTGTTTCTGCAGTTCTCAGCCACGACAGTGGCCAAATTGGTTAACTTGGGCAGAATATTGGTACAACACAACCTACCATGGGTCCATCCAAATGACTCCCTTCAAAGCTCTCTATGGCCGAGACCCCCCCACCCTTTTAAAATTCACAGACTACCCTTCAGCGATGGAAGATGTCAATGTCCACATGACTGAAAGGAATTCCATGTTACAAGAGCTTAAAGAAAATTTAGTTAAGGCTCAAGCCCGCATGAAACACAATGCTGACCTTCATCGGAGAGACGAGTGCTTCCAGCCTGGTGACTCAGTCTTCCTGAAGTTATACCCTTACAGGTTTAAATCCCTTGCCCGGAAATTGAATGAAAAGCTCAGCCCCCGTTTCTATGGGCCTTATACGATTTTGGAACGCATTGGACCAGTGGCTTACAAATTGGATCTGCCACCCACTGCCCGTATTCATCCTGTCTTCCATATTTCTCAGCTCAAAAAGTCCCTACATCAATCGGTGCCCATCCAACCCCTACCGGAATCACTTTCTGAAGACCTGGAATTATTGGTCCAGCCAGACGCGGTTCTCTCTGTGCGCACTCTTTTAGATGGATCCAAGGAGGTCCTCATCAAATGGCAGCATTTACCTGATTTTGAAGCTACCTGGGAACCATATGAAGTGATTCACCAGCAGTTTCCTCAGTTTCACCTTGAGGACAAGGTGAATCTTCAAGCGGGGGGGGGTATTGATAAACCAGCCATACATAAGGTTTACAACCGTAAAGGGCATATTAGACATTAGGAAGGTTGCTAAGGGAGCAGGGTCCACAAGGTACAGGTGTCATGGATGAGAGTCTGTGTTGAGAATATGAATTGCGTGAGTAAGGGTAATTGTCGAAAGGGGAACTGTATATAAGAGCAGCGAGGGTCTTGCAGCAGGGGTATCTTTTTTGGCATTGATAAAACAGTAGAGGTTCCTGGCTCCTCGAAACGCCAGGGTTTTTGGGTTACATTCCAATCATCACATATCATTTCTGTTTCATTCAAGTTATCAGATTAATACAAATTGTGCTGAGTTTTTATCAGTTTTGTTCTTGTGTTTTCTGGTTGTGGATTGACAGTGAGTGTGTGATTGTGTGAGAACTGTTGCCTTTTGGTTGTGGTTTTAGTTTGTTTGCAGGTGTACGTATCAAGATACTAGGTCCAGTTCCATCACATTATGTGCACATGTTTGAGACATAAGGTGAGAAACAGGTGTCCACCTCAAAAAAATTTAATACATAGAATCAATGACCTTAATTTTTACATTAAGTTATATTTCATATCATTACAGTAAAACACTATGAGTCGCCACTCAATCTGACATAATGTCTAAGATAACTAATTATGCATGTTAGACATAATGTCTTATATTGGAAGTGCATTAATCCGATGGTTACAAAATAGGGAAATTTGTATAAGAAATGTGATGCTCTTTAATCTTGCCCCATGCTCTTGCAACCGACTATGAACTATTAATAGGATCCTCTTTCACCAATTATATTATATCAGATTTGCTAAATCAAAGATCATGCAATTCCATCTATCAAATTGGTCAAACATTGACAACCATAAAGGAACAATAAGCTGGAAAGTTTTCTAGCTATTAATGAAGTTGGGGACATCATTTTTCATATTAAGCCTTTATCATGTTGACTCTTCATTACTAAATCAAAGGGTGAGCCAATTATTACAAAAATCAAATATACCACATATGCAATGATAATGGATAGATAGAAAATGATTTCATTCCACTTTTATAACCCTAGTCATGGAATAAACTACAAACTGAATCCCCAAGCAGGCTGAATCAAGTATTACCTCAAAGAAGGCACTTGCTTCAAGCATAGTTCCATTGGGTGTCTTCCCAACAGAAACCATGACTCCACTTTCATTCTCTCCCCAAGAAACAATTTATAAGACATGATTATCAACTAAGAAGCCAATTAACATGTCAAGATGGTTCCCCAAAATCAATGTAAATGAACCTCATACAACTCACTAGGTTATAGGAAACCTTATGACCCAAGTTAAAATACATTGTAACTACAACCAATGAGCATAAAATAATCAATCAGAAGCAGAATCATAATGCAAGTTGAAGGCTCTCAACAGGCAAGACTGTTTCCAAGAAGAATAGAATGCCAAAAGAAAAATCTGATTGCTTGTTAATCTTTAAAAGGATATGGCCTCACATTTATGGAATAAGAAAACAGTCAACTCGAATAGTTGAAATTAAGGATTTACTGTGTTGAGTTAAGCCCAGAATTGCATAATTAAATGATGTAAATTTAGACTCTATTCAAAACCATAAGAGTACAGATGTGAGCTGAAATTTATGCCATTCTCCGCAAGGAGGATTATAATTTGGCGCTGCACCGCTAGTGCACCTACCTCTTGCATACATGTGGGTCACCACTGGATCCACAATGACTGTAATAAACTTGTGCAATATATAAAGACATATTGCCTAACTTGCCAAATAACGGAAACTATTATTAACCAATTCAATAACTAACCCTGGAGATAGGAAACTTTATAATTGCCAATATAAAGAGACAAAACTTAGACAGACAAACTAATATTTCAACTATATATAGCCAATTAAATCAACTTACTTTTAACCCCACTATGCTTTATAAAAGGCCAAGTCTTTCAACTCAAAAGTCATCCAACCTTTATTCATATTCAATAGCATTTATTTTCTAGTTCTAATTATATCTCTATAGCAACTTCAACTTGAACTACACAGGTTCCTATAAAACAACTAAACCATGTAGTTTCTTGAAGATGCAAAATTGGTCATTGTGAACTGAAAAGAATCTAGTTCGCTTCACATAGTTTGTTTACAATTATTTCTTGTTAATGGTTTTATGTTAGTGTTATAGTTAATACACCATTTCTAAGGTCCATGGCATCAATAGCAGTAAATATCAAGAAGAGTATGCCTTGATACGCATACAGATGTCAGCCACCTTCATGAACCTTGAAATCTATTTATGTGGAGAAGAAAGATTATTATAAGGAAACAAGGAAAGTCGATCCCACTAGCATAGTTAATTCTATCTTCACATAAATAGTTGAACAGTTTTGCACCTTGATCACTAAAGTTCGATGCAACCTACATTATGTACGAGAAAATCCAAGTATATTCAAACTCTTATGAAATAGCCCAAGCTACATCTTCAAACATAAAAGTATATTCAACCATGAACAAATAAATTTTGAAAAAGCCAACGAAGAACAAAGAAATTAAGTAATAAATTAAGAAAAGGAAAAAAAAACCTGCATAAAGTTATAGTGCTCTCTTCCAATGGATTCATTCTCAGCAATGGCAAAGTAAGACAAAATGGGGTAGTGCCCAACATAAGACGCATAGCTATCACGCTGAATATTCACTGCCCATTCACTACACAATGCAAAACCACTAATTACAACAACAAACCTTACAAAATACATATAAATGTCATAAAGAATGACTAGAAGCTCACAATCTGTTCAAATCAGCATGGCCAGTACCAACATATTTGGTCTGCAGATGCTCTAGCTGGGAGTTTATGTTAAACCTATCACTGGCCTGCATATTATTAACAAGAAAGCTTCTTAATTTACAGTGTTTCAAAAAAGTAAAAAATAAAAATAAAAAAAAATAAAAAAAAAAAGAAAAAGAAAAGGAAACTTAGAAACTAGAGATTCATGAATAAAAAATTACCTGCATCTTTAATGTACTGAAGAACAATGAACGGAAGGGGAGGGGAGGGTTTACTCGGTCTTGAATCTTGAATTGTAAATACATGTAAAATAAATGATATAAATCTCAGTTAGATGATGCTTGGTAACAGATATAGTTAGGACTCACACTCATTTTAACATGTCCCTGAAACATTATAAAGATGAAACCTTTCACATTTTGAAATTTTGCTTTACTGTAATGATTATTGATTATTAACTCAATTTGTTAGGAATTTATTTAATATTTATTCTTCATTATTGTGTAAATAATTCTATAATATTAAAGAAATTGCAACTATAGTAATTACAAATAATGTAAAACATGTCCAAAATCATCTGGTAGACGGCAACAAAGCAACACACATCATGGAAATATCAGAATGATTCCAGGGTGCAATGTATTACCTCAAAAGCTTTGTGGTAGTAGTCTGTCTGACTCAAATAGTATAACAAAGAAGCACAACAAAAGGTAAGAAAATACTGCACACGGCAAATTTGAACAATTAAAGTGAGAAATATTGGAAGCATCAACCTTGACATAACCCACAATACAGTATAATTAAACTCTTAACATATAAAGTATATAATTCCATTTGTGCAAAATAAATATGAGAGAAAGTAATTAGTTTAAACCACCTTATATAGGTGTTTTAGAAACATAAGTGAATGAATAATTTCTATATATTAACATATAGTTTTACAAGTGTTAGGTGTTCATGAGATATATATAGCTGACTCAAGGCTAGAAATGATTATATAAATAATTTTTATTATGTGATTAAGGAACCATAGTCCTTGATAGTTCCTATATGCATATATGCTTCTTTAGTCAATATTATTCAATTCAACCATATCCTATTGAATATAATCTTGTGAGGTGTCATAGTAAAGAAAAAGATAATTGAAATCCAAGTTCTACCACTCAAACCCAGTCATCAATAAGGGCATGTACTATATTTAGCAATTAAATGCTCTTCATGAAATTTACACAACTAGCCCAACTTCATTTTCTTGCCAATATGCAAAAAAAGACAAATTGCAACATTTGCTTTGACACCCAAATTCATGCATTCTTTCTATATAGAGTACAATTAAATACCGTTTACATATATAATTATCTTTAGAACTAAAAGATATAACATAAATATTCTAAATATAAAGGGGCAAAACAAGAAAAAGAAACAAAAAAATACAATGCAATAATTTAATCAATTTAATTAGAGTATAATATACATCATTCCCAAGTAGTAACCAAACCCGAAAGTGTGAAGGCGTAGGAATATATGTTATGATGTCATCTTTTCCCTTTGTTTATCCTTAAACATATAAATTTAATTTACTAAAAGTACTTCAAAAAGGTTCCTCATACATTTGATCAAATATTACTTGCACCAATCCAGAACAAGAAAAGCTTCATGGACAGTAACAAAAAAAAAAAAAAAAAAAAAATCGAATCAACACTGCTTTTACTCGATTAATTACATCTTTCGAAAGGAAAATAGAAAACGAAATTACCATAAATTTTGTTATTCTAAAATATATTTATGTCTATTTTAAACTAACACGGTAAAACAATAATTAAATAACAAAATTTCTATCGGACACAATGCAAATTTTTCACTCGGGCATTGGGAGAAAATGAAAAAGAAGAAAAAAAGATAATGAAAGAATACTTACCAGCGCGACGGCGTTCTGGTCACTCGGAAACCTTTCTAAGGCGCGGAGTTGGTGGCAGTCCACAGTGGATAAAAATTGAGACGGTATTTCAGAGGAGAGTTTGAATCTTGAGAGGGGAGGAAGATGCATTGTTTTATGAGTGATCGGGTGTGGCAAAGATTACTCTTGAAGAATGAGCTGCTTAACTATAGAAGGCAATAATTTTCTGCCACGTGGGAGGAGAGTTTTTAATTTTTTATAAAATAATTTTAAAATAAAATAAAATTAAAAAGTGAGAGAGAGAGAGGGAAAGACCACCTCTTTTGCACGTGAGGGGTTCAAGTTCTCATTTCTTTAGCGGTTTCGACCGTAGAAACACCCTAAAGCTCAAACGGCTAAACGCAGCGTCGTAGCCAAATCGCCGTCGCCGCACTTGGTGAGTGTGGAGTAGTTGCTTTGCTTAGACATGGTGAGACTTACTGCCGACTTGATTTGGAAAAGCCCTCACTTCTTCAATGCCATTAAAGAGCGTGAATTGGATCTTCGAGGTTCCTCTTTTTTCTCTTTCTTTTTATTCATAACATGAACATATTTTTTTACCTAAAAATCTATAAATATTTGTTTTTTTTTTTTGGGAATTTGTAGGTAACAAAATTGCTGTAATTGAAAACTTGGGAGCTACAGAGGTCAGTTGTATATATTTATAAATGGTGGTTGTTTCAAATAGAAGGACTTTTGTGAGTTTGGTTTTCTTATTGTGGGGGTGTTGGCAGGATCAATTTGATACTATTGATTTGTCCGACAATGAAATTGTGAAGCTTGAGAACATGCCTCTTCTTAATCGTTTGGGTACTTTGATTATTAACAACAATAGAATTACTCGAATCAATCCCAACATTGGAGGTCAGTTTTTTAAAACAAGCGCAATGCAATGTGTTTTTACCTTTTTTTAGGTGTTTGACATTGCTTTCTGCTGCAGAGTACTTGCCAAAGTTACACACTTTAGTTCTCACAAACAACAGGTTTGTCAACTTGGTGGAGATTGATCCTCTCGCATCACTTCCCAAGTTGCAGTTCTTAAGTTTGTTGGATAATAATATCACCAAGAAGCCTAATTATAGGTTGTATGTCATTCACAAGCTGAAATCTCTGCGGGTTCTTGATTTTAAGAAGGTCAAAAATAAGGTAACTCTATCATCACCAGATTATGCACTCAATGTATGTATGTACATTCTTTCGTGAAATGGCACGGCTAAGAATTTAGAAACTTGTGAAACATCCAAACTTTTTCCTCCTGTAATGGAAACATTTTAGTCAATTCAATTGAAGTTTGAATCTCTGCATGCTTTGAAATTAAAACTAAAAGATAAGGATAGAAAGGAAGGGAAATTAAACAATCTTGCTAGTTTTTTTTTTTTTTTTTTTTTTTTTTTTTTTTGTATGGCTTTGTTGATTAACAAGTATGTTTGAACAAAGATTTTATCTCATGCAATGGTAAGTGTAGGGACTTCAAAGCATAATACTACAGATTTTGGTTTAAGAACAGCCTCTTCATATCATGCTGTTTAAGTTATCCCTTTAATATCCCGTTGGACATGACAGTGGCTGAGTAATGATTTCTAAAAAAGAAAAAAGATATCCGCGCAGGATTAATGTGATTATGTTTTTAGCCATGATGATGTGAAATATTGATATATGAGGTGGATAGATTCTAGCTGAAGTCTGTGTCTCCATGTTTTTCCAGACTTTGAAATGTTGTTATCCTTTCTAGTTGCATATCTTATAAACTATTACTCCTCGTATGCTCGTTATGTTACATCCATGGTGTTTGCTTAAGTTATACCTAGCTTCACAAAGAAGATGACTGAGTTTCAAATAGAATGACATCATATAGTGGCTTTGGTGTTATCATAATAGGGATGGTAAAATTCTCGAAAACTTTAGAACCTAACGTTTTTGTTTAGATAGTCTAGAATCCGTTGCACATTTATTTATGAATTGATTTTTAATGCATATTTTCGGGTAATAGGAGAGGCTGGAAGCAGCAAGTCTTTTTGCCTCTCAAGAAGTTGAAGAGGAAGCTAAAAGGGAATCTGCAAAGATGTCCGCACCAGTTGAAGTTCCAATTGTTTCAGAAGTTCCTCCAGAGGATCAACAAACTCCAAAAGTGGTTGCCCCCACTCCTGAGCAAATTATTGCTATCAAGGTATTTTGTTTATTGCATCAAAATACATAGTCATATGAGAAGCTCTATTATGCTTTTCTGTAGATTAGAGTGCAGCAAAAGGTTGAAAATCATATGATTTAAACAACTTGACGTTAGACAGCTAAATATGATAAGTTGTTTGAATTTCCATGCAAAAGAAAAAGTAGTTATTGGTTATTTGAAGATTTGTTAATGTAGGTTCAAACCATGAGAGAGTAAACGTAAATATAGCATAGTTTGAGTGCCTACTGGGAAATTATTTTAAATATTGAAATTCTTGGGTGATCTTGTTGTCATGTGATATTTGCTTCTCTCATAGTGCTAATGCCTTAAAATGACTTCTGCATGTTCTGTTACAGCATGCTCAAACTTATATCGAGGTGATATTGTATCTCATTGTTGTGTCATTTGTATGCAGGCTGCCATTGTGAATTCCCAGACTCTTGAAGAGGTTGCACGACTTGAACAGGTACTTGCTTGCTTAATAGAAAGAATGTTTTTTTGAATTTGTTTTGTTGTCTTCCATTGTCTGTGCTTGATATTAACAGTATCCTTCTACATGGAATATGCATAACAGGCTTTGAAGTCAGGTCAGCTTCCTGCAGATTTTCAAATTCCAGATGATAATGACAAGAAGAATGGCAAAGAAAAAGATGAGAAAATGGTCTCAGACAGTGGAGCTGAAGTTGAGTCCAGCAATATGGAAGAACATGGAAATGATGAACCTGCTCCCATGGAACAGGTATCTCTCATGCCTCTTTGTGCGTTTGTACTAAGTTCTTTTATTTTCATTTGATTCTTTTTTATTCTCTATCCTTTTCTTTCTTCTCTTTGCTTGTCTGTCATGAGGATTATAAAGTCCATGCATTCAGTTGCTAAATCTATGATTTAAGTATTTAATTGGTTTTTGGTTAGTGAGCTTTACTTTAATCTTTTTATGTTAGATAAACTTCAATTTTTAGTAGATTGACCAGTTGCCTGAGTGGACTGAGAGATGTGATTTTATGGGATGCTGTATGTGGAGATAGGGGGAAAAGTTTGATGTCAATCTTCCAATGCCTAGATGTGCATGCACATTGGAATTTGTTAGTGAATTTGGTAGTTTAGTAAACATTTAATCCAATGCTTTTTGTGGTTTTTGTGTGTTCTAAAACCATCTTCCTTTTGTTATGGTACTGGATGCTTATGCATTTCACTTGCTGCTAATTTGTTGGTTTGTTTTTCATTTGCTTCATCAGCAGGCACATTATTATTTGGCATCTGTCCGGGTTTCTGATATTAATGCCATGTTTTTTCTGTTTTGCCAGGAATAGAAGGCTAGTCTGCATTCCAGTCTATGTGAAGTCTTCTCTCTTTGAGCTTGACGGGTTGTATCGTCAAGAGAACATTTGAATTAGTTTTAGAATTTCAGCTTATCAGGGGTTATATGCTTGTAACACTATGCCGGATGTGAAAAACTTTTCTGTGCTTCTTTGACCCCCCCTCCCTGCTCTTTACCCGTTTTCGTTGTCAGGACTGGAAAAACTAAGAGAGGTAGTTTGTTTCTTCAGCTAAAATGTAGGCATGGCCAATGTATAACTTGATATGTTAGGATGTATACAACGTTTACCATGTTCTACCAGAATTTGGAAATATTATACCATTATTTTGCCCTGGATTGGTGGATTTGCAGTTTTAAAATGAAGTATTGCTAGCTTATCAGCACAATGGGAATTGAATTGCTGGACGCCTGAGATTAAATTTGCCAGGTGTTTCAATAGTTGATTATAATAAATAGTTATTGAATCAAATATTTAAGTACTCGAGATATTGATGCAGGGGATGCTCGATGTGTAAGCAAATTAGCTTGTTATATGGCATAAGCTGCAGTTTCAGTTAGAGATTTTGGGAAAAAACAAAACATTTTATGGTCCTTGGTTGTGATGAAAATTCTATAAGAAATGTATTAAACTTATTTTACTTCTGGGCAGACGATTTTTTAATAGTGGTGTTGCATTGAAACATTTTCTTTTTACGGTGATGAAACATTTCCAAATTTATGAGAGAATTGTTAATGGAGGTTGCGTATTATCATTCTCAGATCACTTGAGTTTACTTTACCACCACATCTTTCTTATACGCTTTGCTTTGGCATCTTGAAATATCAGACTTGAACGCCCATTTCACCAAGTTCACAAAGTACAATACAATACCGGGGCGCANATATGGAAGAACATGGAAATGATGAACCTGCTCCCATGGAACAGGTGTCTCTCTTGCCTCTTTGTGCATTTGTACTAAGTTCTTTTATTTTCATTTGATTCTTTTTTATGCTGTATCCTTTTCTTTCTTCTCTTTGCTTGTCTGTCATGAGGATTATAAAGTCCATGCATTCAGTTGCTAAATCTATGATTTAAGTATTTAATTGGTTTTTGGTTAGTGAGCTTTACTTTAATCTTTTTATGTTAGATAAACTTCAGTTTTTAGTAGATTGACCAGTTGCCTGAGTGGACTGAGAGATGTGATTTTATGGGATGCTGTATGTGGAGATAGGGGGAAAAGTTTGATGTCAATCTTCCAATGCCTAGATGTGCATGCACATTGGAATTTGTTAGTGAATTTGGTAGTTTAGTAAACATTTAATCCAATGCTTTTTGTGGTTTTTGTGTGTTCTAAAACCATCTTCCTTTTGTTATGGTACTGGATGCTTATGCATTTCACTTGCTGCTAATTTGTTGGTTTATTTTTCATTTGCTTCATCAGCAGGCACATTATTATTTGGCATCTGTCCGGGTTTCTGATATTAATGCCATGTTTTTTCTGTTTTGCCAGGAATAGAAGGCTAGTCTGCATTCCAGTCTATGTGAAGTCTTCTCTCTTTGAGCTTGACGGGTTGTATCGTCAAGAGAACATTTGAATTAGTTTTAGAATTTCAGCTTATCAGGGGTTATATGCTTGTAACACTATGCCGGATGTGAAAAACTTTTCTGTGCTTCTTTGACCCCCCCTCCCTGCTCTTTACCCGTTTTCGTTGTCAGGACTGGAAAAACTAAGAGAGGTAGTTTGTTTCTTCAGCTAAAATGTAGGCATGGCCAATGTATAACTTGATATGTTAGGATGTATACAACGTTTACCATGTTCTACCAGAATTTGGAAATATTATACCATTATTTTGCCCTGGATTGGTGGATTTGCAGTTTTAAAATGAAGTATTGCTAGCTTATCAGCACAATGGGAATTGAATTGCTGGACGCCTGAGATTAAATTTGCCAGGTGTTTCAATAGTTGATTATAATAAATAGTTATTGAATCAAATATTTAAGTACTCGAGATATTGATGCAGGGGATGCTCGATGTGTAAGCAAATTAGCTTGTTATATGGCATAAGCTGCAGTTTCAGTTAGAGATTTTGGGAAAAAACAAAACATTTTATGGTCCTTGGTTGTGATGAAAATTCTATAAGAAATGTATTAAACTTATTTTACTTCTGGGCAGACGATTTTTTAATAGTGGTGTTGCATTGAAACATTTTCTTTTTACGGTGATGAAACATTTCCAAATTTATGAGAGAATTGTTAATGGAGGTTGCGTATTATCATTCTCAGATCACTTGAGTTTACTTTACCACCACATCTTTCTTATACGCTTTGCTTTGGCATCTTGAAATATCAGACTTGAACGCCCATTTCACCAAGTTCACAAAGTACAATACAATACCGGGGCGCATTTGTAATCAGTCATTCATATAAATGGCTGCAATTTAAAGTAACCATCTAAAGGGAAAGAAATTCGAAAAGCTATTATGAAAAGATAGTTCAAATTTTTCATATAAATGGCTGCAATTTAAAGTAACCATCTAAAGGGAAAGAAATTCGAAAAGCTATTATGAAAAGATAGTTCAATTTTTTTGACAATTAAGCTTGGCTCTGAACCCAACACAAAACTTTGAATAGAAATTACAAAATTTTCATGTCCCTAAGAATCATCTTGTTTGAAAGATGCCAAAACTTATGCAGCCAACTCTGAACGAGAGGCCCATGGCAATGGCATCCTAATAGTTTGTATTCACACCATCAGCTTATCCTGTAGCTTCCATTTCACAAAATCTATTCCACTAAATTTTGCATTTTTAAGCTTCTTTTCTCCCATGATAAATATGTAAGGAAAGAACCCGTCTTCTTCATATATCCTGATTTCGATAGAATGGCCTGGCCTGTTACAATAATTATATAGACGAATCAACAAACAAAATACTAAAATTGCGGAAATGAAATATTAATCTGATGATTATAAAGAAGATTATAAAAGGAAGCTCCCTCAGAAGGATTAGTTTTCAACATATACATTCAGACAAGGCTGAAACTTATAATATATGTAGTTAAATCATTGGGAGGATAAATCATTTCACAAACACCCACATTAATGAAACACATACAAAAACCAAGTAAGGAAACAATCTTGACATTGGAAAACATAAAAACATGAACCGATAATGGATTTAAAATCTGATTTTGAAGTTTCTCTACAAGAACAAAGTAAACAAAAACAATAAAGAGAATCAAAAACTAAATGAAAATCAACAACAATAATTTTAGATTAGATTTATATACACGTATTGTAGACTATACATACATACTGGAAAGAACAGCCCTCCTACCCTCTGAGTTTGATAGGAATCAGGTACTTGGTGTTTTTACTTTTTATAGCAAATTTAAGTTCCAAAACCCTAACCCTACCAGGCGTCAATAAACTAACCATGGTTTACTAATATTGTATTTGTATGAGATGGTAACAAGATTTTACCATTTTCACCCTTTTAAGTGACAAATTTATGGATTTTTTAACGTAAAAGACCCTATATATTATATTTTTTATAATTGAATTTAATATATGTGTTTTTCAAGATGAGATTTGGAATATAATAATTGATTTTATTAACGAATTTGTAGAAGGATTTCATATTATTATGCTGAAGATTTTATTTAATAAAAAGAAACGTTTTAGAATTAATTATAGGTAACCCAACATGACGTGTTTTGGGCTTCAAACCCAAAAATAATATCATGAAGCCTTGTAATGCTAAAACAAATAATATCATATTGATTCATTTACAACACATTCAACACTAAGGAGACGTATTGTAAAGTTCCGCATCACCCCGTGCGAGAGGGGGTGCCCATATATATTGGCTATTGACCTTAACCTAACATGACGAATTTTAGGCCTAAAGTCTAGAAACAAAACCCTGACACCCTGTAATGCCAAAGCTTACAATGTCATGTTAGGTCATTTATAACAAATATGTGATTATTACAATGGATTTGGTGAACAATTCAGAAAATAGTCACATTTAAAGAGATTGTAAATGCATATTCTACCAGTCTAAAAGGAATATGTCCCGAAATCACTGTAAATTAAAAGATAGGTTACCAAGGAAAAACAGATTGACAATTTCAGTAATCCTTGTGGAATTATTGATGATTTGGCAAAACAAATTTACACATTGAATTGATCAATCACTGCCTTCCTCACAAACATAAGTTAAACAACCAATCACAATTTGAATTTTCATGTATAAATGAAACAATCAGCACAGCAGATAATCACCAACCAAAACTTCCCTAAGAATTTCAAATTTCACAACCCAACACAATACAGGATACTCTTACTTTAAACATATATCATAACAATAATCATCATAATATCATCCATGTTATAAGGTTCACAAAAAAGTAAATGTTCAACAGATACTTCCGCCATAACCAAAAATAACAAAACCAAATGAGAGTATGTCAAAGACATAGCATTTTATTACAAACCATCCATAGCTTGCATACCGATGATATATATATTATATATTATATATCTGAAAGGGGTCTTTGTCCCAACAATAACCAAGCGACCAACCACACATGGCCCCTTCCATCCTTAAGCAGTAGCCCTTCTGACCTTTCATTTCCATGATTTCTTTGCGTTCGATCATACCGAGCTGCTCCATCACAAAGTCCATGTGGCATAATAGTATTAAGCTTGCTTTGCAGAGACATCATGCAATTGCCCCTGATAACAAAAAATATAAGATGATATACAGAAAAAGGAAAACTACTAGAAATGAACTCCAATTATAGACAAACATTGTGTAAGCCCAACCAATCAAGATAAGGCTAATACACAAAACACAAATTGTAAGATTAAAGAGGAGTGCAGGAATTTAAACCTCAATAGAACTTTGAAGAACTTTTGGAACACAGAAACTGGGAAGCAAGCGCGACATGTCGCGCACTGGTACAGGGTTTTCACCCCATCTCCCTGCACCAGCAGTGGAGTATGTTTGATTGATTGCTATTCAGAATCACCGTAAACTTCTCCATCATCAGAAAACTCATCAAATGTCCTCATATCAAGCTGGTAACGGAGGATTCCCCCAATCCCACCAAAGCCTCTGCAGAACTGGGATCCCTCTTGCGACTTGTTGGTAACAAACTCAAGTGTGCAACCAAATCGCCTGTATTCATTAGCAAACCATTCGAGAAGTGGCATCTTTTCCTGAACCTCCAATTCAGCATTCGTGCCAGAGTCACGGAAGCTGCTCTGGTTTGTTTCTTGCTCCTTGTTCAAGTGTTTTATTATAACTTCGTTGTTGGTGGTGTTTTTCAAAGTGTACCTATTCATATCCAGATTTTCCCAAACAATAAGTGTCTCAACAGCACCCATTTCCAAAGCTTTCAGTGTGTCATCAACACCGAAAACATACTTTCCAGTGTCCTGACTTATTTCTTCGAAATATTTCCCTATCAGGCGCTTCTCTTGTATAAACTTCACATTTGAAAGGATTTCAGCAGACAACTCAATTGCCTGATTAAACCCATTCTCCCCTCCATAAGAAACATCCACAACATTCAGGATTTTCGCCTGAAGGCGGGGATCAAACATATCAGACTGACTAAGCTCAGTTTTAAAGTCAGCTGAACCAGCAAGTATCAGTCCTGAAACATTGGGCTGGCTAGTGGAAGGATTGATATAAAACTGTGTAGCAAGTTCAGCGGTCTTCCTTACATAGTTGTGGCGCTTTTCCATACGGAGCCGAGCAAACCGTAGTGCTGACTGACCTCCTCTTCCATGCTTCTTAGGAAGGTCAACAGAAAACTTATGAAGGACCTCACGTGTGTTTCCACTTAGTGTACCAAAAAGAGTCCCGTTACCATCCATGACAATAAAACCAAACTTGTCATCAGATTCCAGAAGTTCATTCAGAGCTTCAGTATGAAACTTGTTATCACAAAGGTAAAGAGATGCATTAATAGGCCTGAAAGGCTCAAAGTCAATAGTGACCTTCTTTTCCTTGCCATCATCAGTGACAATTGTTCCCGTGTAAAGCACAAGCCCATTCGGAGGAACCTTGTTGTAAAGCTTCAACCTTTGCTGAGCAGACGTAATGGCCCCCAAAACAGATTGACGATTAACCCTACTTTTGATGTTCGAAGCAGTTCCAAATTCATCACCAAGCATTTTAGTGACACGCGCAATCTGATCACGCGGAGGCATGATAAGAGAAATCATGCTTGTTCCATTGCCTCTTGCTGCCTCAAGTGCTTTGATTAGCTTCTTAATCTTCCATATCTCAATGTTTTTATCAGTCTCGTGACCGTCTGCCATCGCAAAAAATGCAATAACTGCCCCCCCCCCCCCCCCCCGCCCCCCCCAAAAAAAAAAAAAAAAAAAAAAGAGCAATAAATAAACAATAAACAACAAACAAAACCATAATAACTGAGTTTATATATTAAACAACAGCACTTGCAGAAAGATGCTGCATCACTAACTAAATAAAAAATTAAAAAAAGACACTCAACACTCAAAATTATAAATTTAAAAAAAAAAAAAAAAAAAAAAAAGAAGATATCCACCAACACATCTCAACTCGGAAAAGAACACATTTCACATGTACGCAATCATATTAGATTATATTATTTCCAAGAAAAATAATAAATGCCTTTTTCAAGCCAAACATCCAAATATTCTTTTTATCTCTAATAAATAAGAAAATATCGGCTTATTGTCAGAATTAAAACGATCGAATTCAAAGCCATCACTTTAAAATTATCTAATTAAATAACAAATAATAATAATAATCATGTTACGGACATAATACAATTCAGATATCAATCAAATTTCAGAGTTTCAAATCTCAGTAAATCGATATACAAAATCAGCAAAAATAAAAAATAAAAAATAAAAAAATCAGAGAAATTGAAAAGGCTTTCAGATGAATTGATGAATCTACAAACAAATCGAGTAAAAAGATAGACATGTATGCGGATGAGGAGGAAAGAGAGACACCTGAGAATTGCAGATCGAATTTGAGGAGAGAAGGAAGAAGAAAAGTTGTAATTGGCTTAAATTCTAAGAGGAGGAGGATAACATGAGACGCTAAATACAAACGAAAATAATAAAAGGTATTTATAGTGTCACTAATAACCAGGTATCCCACCCTAACCAGACAATTTAACCATGGTTAGGTTTTGCTTTATTTGAGTTTAGTAAACCGACTTAACTAGAGCGTTTGAGATAAAAATTTGTTTCACCTTGGATTTTCTGTATAAACCCTTATTATTAAGAAACTACCAAAGACACCCAACATGTTGTTAATAGAATTGGTTAACGGAGACATCGTCTTTTATATTAAGACTTAAATAACCTTATAATCTCCAAAACAAAAAAAAAGAAAAAATCAAACAATTTAACAACATCAGGGAAGAAAGGAAACATTCCATCATTACTTACTTAAAGAAACACTCAATTTTCCGCCACTGTTTTTGGACAAAAAAGGGGAATCCGATTCTAAAAGAATTTGGGAGGAATAGGGTATTCCGAGAGTGGAAAAGGGTACAAAAATCCTTCTCAACCCTCTTTTTAAATGTTTTTCTATTTTCATCTTTAAAAAATTGTATTTAGATTTTAATTATTCTATAATTTAATTAAATATCGATAATCATCATACTTTAAGAAAAATAAATTATTGTTCTATCCCCACCATTTATATCCATCATCAGTGACAGGTCTATGCCATTACCATTGTAATCAGTTGATCAATGTCATTGATCTAGACTATCACCATGACCGACAAGTCAATTCCACCACCACTGTAGCCAGTCGGTCATCATCGTCAAAAGTGGGAATCAAGTGTCACCTACAACGCATTAGATATATGTGGCTAACAATTTGTCTATCTAGGCAAGTTCCGAGCAACCTATTATATGATGGAGATTACATCACGCACAGTGATCATACTACTACGCATGACATTATCTTCAACATAATCGACAACCTAAACTTGCCCAAATCAATAGATCGTCGCCCACCAATATCCTACACACCAAAGGTGACTGCATGGTTCCCACCTCCAGTGGTGTTGACCAATGGTAGGTCAAATTTGAAAATTTATTTATTTATTTCATTAAAGAGAAAACATTCATTTTAATTGTTAAATAAAATAATATTATATTGATTTCTATTTATAATAGTTTATGTTAATTTAAATATATTTGTTATAAAGTTATTTTTATCTGATTAAATATTAATGATTAAATTGTGTGATAATATAATAATTTAAATTTAGAGGGTAATTTTGCAAATTTAATTCCAGTCCAAAAAGCGAAAAAATAGTGAAATACTTGTGTTTTGATGTTAACTAGAAAAGAAGAAACTAATAAAATAAAAAAAAGAGCAATGTTAGTTTTACAAAGACAATCTCCACCCTTGATTTTCATGATTTCTCTCTCTCTCTTTCTCTTTTTCCATTTTTTCTTTGTTTTTTTTTTTTCTTGCTGATATCATACAACTCTCTTTGTATGTGTATTTGTAAGGATAACATTTTTCATAAAAAAAAAACCATCTGGAAATTTCTACATGAGAGTTGTTGAATCCAAGGTGCAAAACAATAAAACAAAATTTACAGATAGAGAGATTCTACATAAGAAGTATATTATGTTGTGCACCAAAAATCCTAAATCACCTCTCCTTTACAAGAATGAAAAAGCTTCTTATCTTCTCTACCAAAACCTGTGGTATTGTCTTGTGATTGTAAGCAATTCATGATGTGCAGATTGTTGACCATCAGCTTTTATGCAATTGAATTAGATGATAAAAACAATTATAACAAAAAACAAATCCTTGAACATTTTCCGCAAGTAAATTTAAAAGTGCTCTGGGACACCACAAGCACACCTGTAAATCTTTGGACTTTGCTCCAGAGAGAATTTGATTATCCATGAGTTTTAGTAGCTAAATAATACATCACTTATCACATTAACTACCAAAAGAAATGAACCACAGTTACTTTCAAATCAGATCAAGCAATGTAATTTGTTTAGTTCCAAATCAACCAATAAATCATATCAATTTTCCAAAACATGGGATACCATCATGAAGTTTAAATCTGCCAGTGTTAATTACCACCACCTAAAAAATCTTTTTTATCTATATCCATAAGCTAAATCACTACAAACCAATCAGAATTCCTACTATTTTTTTCTCCTTGTTTATCCAAAAATGCTTAAATGCAAAGTTTTCTGCCTGAATGAAAATTAAAATAATTGACTTCGACTCATTTCAACCCCCGTCTAGTTTTAGAGTTCAGTCAACTAATCCACACAAAATGAATAAAGATTTTATGTATACATATCGTTTTAAAAAAAAAAAAAGGGTAATGATTATGGAAAAAGATATGAATGCAAGAAATGCAAAGTAGTTCACATGAAGCCTAAATTCCTGACACTGACAGTCTTATGATCATATAATTTATGATTATGATGAAATGACATGATAGAAATTTACAGAAAAGTGCTATGTTCCTGTCTAATACGAAAAGAGTCAATAATAAACCAAAAAAAAAAGAACTAACCAGATAAAGCTGAGCAACAAACAAAATAACATAAATAAGGATACAGGTGCAGACAAAGTGTTGTAGCATGCTCCAAATTTCTGGGTAAAACACGCACCAACAAAATCCCTACTATTGATCAACTCTTAATTAAAACCATATTTAATATATATATATATAAGTATAACTAGAATGACTTACCCCCGCGGTTGAAATAGAGCAGATTTATCATATTAAAAAGGAGAGGGCCCTTTTGTCTATCAGCTGCTGGTGCATTCATGGAATAATTCCAGAATTATATGGTTACTGCCATTGGATACATCATTGTTGTGCACTTCATGAGATTCCGAAGGCTCGTATCTATCTTCGAAAGCATTTTCTACCACAGATTGTGCATTATCATAGACTTATATTTTTCTTCAATGAGAACTTGATGAATAAGATGATCTATAATTGTGATAATTGGACCTGCTAGATGTTTTGATCTCTTGACGTTTGGTTCTAGTCAACTTCACATCTTCTCACTCTCTTCTATGGTTGCTCTCATGGGACAGGTCATCAATTCTGCGCCTTTCTATGCTTCTAGAATGATCCTCTACAACATGCTTATCACGATGCCCATGAAGGCCCTGCTTCATTAGCACATGATCTCTAGTCAAAGCATCCTCAAATATTGTAGATTTGATATCACGACCATAGTGAGATTGTTTCCTGTAATGGTTTGGGCTACCTCTAGTTGCTTCAAATAAATTGTTATTGTTTTTCCTACAATTCATATTAAGATCCTGTGCAAGGGGTCTTGATGAAAGCATCCATCCCTACCTCTTCATCTCCCTTCACAAAACAACTGATTCCACCTGCTTGCTTAATTTCATCCATGTGTTCCTCTATTATATCCCTCATAACCTCCGAAACAATGTAAACAAATGGAGTATGGAAACTATCATTAAACTTTAAATTTCAAATTGATGACAATGTACCAAAAAAGAACTGCAATAAAAAACAATGAGGCATTCTTTTAGTATGAGAAAACAATAAGACATTAGATACAAGAATATTATGACTCCATCTTTAGTAAGAATACATGAAGATTTTAATCACAAATAATTTTTGTCAAATTGATGGGTTCTCTCATTTAGCTTTCTCCCAGAAAAAACTTTCAAATATTTACCAAAGTTCAAGACTGTGGAGGCAAGTGTTTGAAACTGCACGGATCTATTATGCATAATTTATAATCTTTTCCATCCATAAGACTAACTTCTACGCTAAGAAAATAAACATATCAAGTAATCTCTCCTCAATTACAAAGTTCAACACATGCATTTGACAAGCCGGGATGTCATCAATTAGGTAGGAAGTAAAACATTAGATAACAGAAAATGTAATCGTTAGAAAGACCTTTTCAAAACTAGATTCTTACCTTTAAAGTTGTTCTTTTCAACTTTTTCCCACGATATGACATTCTTCAGCATTTGTAATCTCTTTCTTCAGCCAATAAATCCTCTTTCGTCTTATTCTTACTTGTTCCTTATTTAAACAAACAAAGATTTGTCAACAACAGTTTATTCAAACCATCTTTCATGTAAAAAAGATAATTGTCAAGAGAGAGGACACCAGATAAAATACTAGTAATTTGCTGTTATGTTCCCTGAAGTGCCTCTTTCTGGTTGTTATAAGCATTTTACTAAAACTGTTGACAAGTTAAATGTACTAACCCACTACAACAAGCTGACTCCTTGTGTCATGCATGAGGTTGTTTCCTAAATTCTAATATAGTTGCCAACAGCAATGAACTAAATGCACTTAAAAGAAAACTGACCCCTACCTCATGAAACTTGTGCATAATGATAATGTTTAATGATTGAGAAAGTTAAGGCATATCCTAAATCTAGAATTAGGTAAACATGGTCTCCTAAGAAAAAAGTTCCACACAAGGGAAACACCAAGTTAATGCACTTGCTGTGGCAATATATATGCCTGAAGAACCAGTATGACCAAATAAAGTTTCAATTATCTGAATTGTAATTTAGGTTAAAGCCAGGTATCCTAACCATCCACATGGCTAATGGCATCATCTAATGCTAACAAGTAGCTTTCAGTTTCTTGAATCATGTTTTAAATTGTAAAATAAAACATATGCAACTCATATTACTTACATATTTAAGAAAGCTAAATACCTGGTTAGATGATTGTTTCTTAGGAAGTACATCATGCTCAATTATAGGTCTATATGAAGGACGTTTTTTCCTCTCCTCATTGGCTCTATTAGACACATAAGCATGCTCAGCCATTCTACAGATAAAGGAAAACTCTATCAGCATCAGATCCTTAGATTCAAGATACACATATTTCAGACAATAATACTATCACAGCAAGTTAAAGACAATACAAAGAAGCTCTAAAGTGGATGTCAATTGAATAGGAACCATATAAATAAGACAATCGATTCATACCAATACCATGGAACAATAAAAATTCATGAAAACATAAATGACAAATAAGATAGACAAATATTTATACCTTATTGCTGACATATTCATGAACCAATTCACCTACTTTACTCTCATCTACAACCCTTTCAAGGGGCTTATCAACTTTGACATTCATAATCTCACTATGGGTAGAATGTCAACTTTGATCTTCTTCTTTTAAATCAGAAGACATAGTCGAGTTTTGCTCTAATGGAAACAACAACGGTGAGGCACTTTCTAATATGCATTGCTTAAAAATGTTAAGAGCAAATAATTTTGCACTCAGTTGCCCATATAAAACAGAAAGCTGAGAAGCCAACAACATCAAAGTCTGAGATAAAGCAGGACACTTCAAACTCATACTCTTTAAATTCCCCTCCAATTCTCGGCCCTTCAACAACTCCACAATCGCCGAAGCTTCCCTTATAACAGCTTTCAAACACAACCCAACCAGAACAAGTATATGATCCCTCAAATAAACATTAATCACAATACCAAATTGTGACGAATTAATGATTACCGATTTGTTGAAATCACTCTCTTTCACCCTTTTAACCCCAAAATTGCACAAACAACAGTAAAGGAGTACAGATTTAAGTACTCACAAGCACTCCAACCCTCAATTTCTCTCCTAATAAACCAGAAATCAGAACCTAAAATCCTGAACCCCAATTCATCAAAACCTTCAATCTTTGTCTTAACTTCTTTATCATAATAACAAACATTAGCACATTCTAAAGATAAAAAACCAAGCAAAGTAAAAATTCTTTTACTCCTTAAAAGACTATCTAATAAACAAACAGGACCAGGGCAATCTTTATAAAAGAAACTAGAAAATCCAGGGTAGTAATGTAATCATCTAAAGAAAAGTAGAGCTCCTGGTTTAAATCTTGAATGGCGAAATGGGGATTTTGATGGTATAATGTTGAAAACGATAGTAGGCTATTTTGGTAATTTGGAGAGTCAATTGAGATAGGAGATGGACAGTGAAAAATGTGGTGGAAGAGGGATTCAGGAGGCATGAGATGGTGGGGGTTGTAAGGGCAGGGGAGGAAGTGGTCGTTTTGGGGCTTTGGAGGGAGAAATTTGGAATTTGGAAGAGGTTGGTGAGAATGAGAGATGAGGGTTTTGAGAGAGGAGAGTGTTGTTGAGCGATCATACGGGTTTGGAATTTGGGTTAAATTAGGGTTGGGGTTTAATGGAGGTGTTGAACAAGGGTTCACAGATTTCAATGTTTCGGAGACTAAATGAGAGCAGCCCTGCCTCTGTGAGTAGTTTTCAATGACAAACGAAAACAGGAACTTATCACCACCACAAAACTTAACTTCGGTTGATCAATATTTCAGAAATTTTATATATCCCTATTAGCAAATATCACCACCTATCACCACAAAATTAGCCGCCGCCGCCACCACCACCACCACCCAATATTTCCAAAATTTCTCCCATATCACCCCTGTTACAGTTGCCTACTCAAAAACATTAGAAGATTTTACCTCTTTCTTCCGTTGAATATGAATTTTGGGCGATGGTCATTGGTCCAGATCAATATCTATAGCAAGAAAAAGCCCCGCCTCCTGCAGTGAGAACGAAAAGTGTTATTACCAGCTTTGAGAGTCTCAGAACAAAAACCCAGAAATCACCAAACAAATTCTACAACACCGTGATAGCAACCATCACCACTATTAATTGTAATCCGGATTTTTCACCACCGGAAAATCCGGCGATGGAGTCAACACCTACTAAAAAAACCAGGGAAGGAGTTGGCACCTGAAAAATCCGGCGACAGTACTACACCTACTGAAAAATAGCGCATTTTGGGAATTGCTTTATAATAATAATAATAATACAGGTGTACGTTCCAAAGGTATACAGGTGTACATTCCAAAGGTCTAACATAATGATACGGTAGATTTGTGATTGACATGGTTGAATTTTATCGGCGATGATATAAACAACATTATTATCCTAAAGTATAAATAAATAAACATTTTTAATTATTTTAGATATTGCATTGCATTGCCATCCAGTCTTTTCATATTCAGCGTATATATACTGGGCAGCCTAAAGGCTTCATATTCAGGTAAATACATCTCTAATTTTTTTCTTCTCTTTCTTCGTTTTCTTCCCGCTTTGAATCTTTTGCGATCTGGGTTCGGCTTCTAATATAGGTTTCGTTTCATTGATCCATCACCGAGTGCCTTCATTCTCGTAAGTCTTTTTCCGAAATTTGCTTCTCTTCAATTTGCTTCTGATTATAATTTTCTGCTTTCAAATTCTCTAGTTTTTTCTTCTCTTTCTTCGTTTTCTTCCCATTTGCACAGATTGATGCAGTTTATTCAGCACTTGGTTCTATGGGTTACAAGAAACTTGCGGTTCACATATCGGAAACTGGGTGGCCATCTAAAGGAGATGAAGACGAAGCAGGGGCAACACGAGATAATATGGGACTGACTGATCATATTTGTCTTTTTGCTACACTTTTGTATATATATCATTTACCATTGATAATACCTTAATTTATGTAGGTTCTCCTTGATTGTGGTTTTGTTCTATTGATCGTATAGTGAGTGACTGTAATGGGCAATTTCCTTATTTACTTTGTCTCCATTAAGGTACTTCCGTCATGCATCTGCTGCAGTTATTGTGCTCTCCAAAAATTTAGCTCAGTATATCAACATAAACAGGTTAGTTATCAATTATATAGTTGAGTGTTCTGGTTAATTTTCATTGTGTTTTGCCAACGTAATGCGACATGAGTTCCATTCTTTGTAAATAAGTAGATGTTACGATCAAAAGGTTAAACGCAATGTCATGGGCAATTTCACCGGTTCAAGCCTCCAAGGGCAAGGCAACTGCCTTAGACGTCTCCTTAAGTTCAGCCGTCTAAAATATATGTATATTTAGTCATTTTTTGAATTTAACTCAATCTTCTTATTGAATTAAGGCAAATATATCTATATTCTATCTTTAAAATTAGACAAAATTAATATTACTCTTTCAATATCAACCATCTTGATAAGCTATTTACGTTAAAATTCTATATGTACACATTCCATTTTATAATAAATAGTATAATTTAATATAATTGTCTAATTAATTTTTTTTTTAACTTTTCCTTTTATAAATATTTAACATTTTAGTCTCTCTTATGGAAAATAAAGGAGTTACCTTTCAAAGTTTTTTTCTTCGCAATATCACTCAAAATTATACATAATATTAATATAATCATTCTTTAATGTGAATGCTATAAATCTCAAGACATTCTTACTTAATAATATTCATATATATTATATATTCGTTGTAAAATCTAAAAATATTTGAAATATAACAAAGTAAAATATATTCAGTTTTCCTACCATTTTAATCAATTTTTATTGCATATATAGTATTCTCTTAATAATAAAAATTCTTAGTTATAAAATCTGTATATATATAAAGAAAGCTTAATACCCCCCTTGATTGTTTGACAAGTAGTACATTTTGAACTCATTTTGGGGCTGTAAAATTGTTCCATCTTGACACGTAGGATTTGTGGTTATCATGTAATTGAATTTTATTGGTGAATATGTGAATATATATTAATTGTTGCATTGGTATACAAAATCCAAAGGTAAAAGCATACCTGTTTGAGTGACATGTAGGACATATTTTTCTTCTTTTTTTTAGCTCTAAAATTGCTTTATTTTGGAGCTCTAGAATTGCTCTCTCTTGCCACGTTGGATGTGTGGTTTAATGAGATATTAATGCATTGCATTGATATTCCAAATGTTCATATTAACCCAAACTTTTATTGATTAGGTTTAATGAGATATTAATATACTGCATTGGTATTCCAAAGATTCATATCATCTTGATTACATTACGTAGCACATTATCCAAACTTTTCTTGATTAGATTTAATGAGATATTAATGCATTATATTGGTATTCCAAAGGTTCATATCATCTTAATTACTTTACGTAGCACATTTTGGAACTCGTTTTGGGGCTGTAGAATTGTTTCATCTTGACACATTGGATTGACAAGTAGGATTTGTGATTTAATGAGCAACCATGCAAAGAATGTTCATAGTGCAGGACAAAGGGATCATCAAAATATACGTATGCAACTAAATTTAAGGTCAAAAAATTATATAAGAAAATTAAGCTTTTATATATGGTGTGTAGCTGCGTTGTGTGAACATAAACTAAGTACATTCTCACATACCTTAGTGTGACCCAATTTAAGAAGGTTAGTGTTGATGCTTGATTTTGACACCAACAACTTGTACATGTAAAGTGCTAAGCGGACTTAGAAATTACACGTGATATGGAAATGTGCAACGAAAGAATAAACAAGAGACAATTTTTTAAGTGGTTGTGATGCTCAAAAGCAAATCCTACGTCCACTATATTTGTATTGATAGATGATTACAGTCAGGTTGCGGGCAGCAAGCTGAGTTACAATCTAGAGAGAATTTAAATACATAGAGAGAGAGTCTGCTATTAGAAAACTAAAAATGACCAGATCTTGTAAATGAGAGAGGAGTCATCTATTTATAGTCAAGGGATTCAAGGTAATAACCATGATTTTGTAGTCGGATAGGTGTGGTACAATTCTTACCTTGCTTCCCATTGGCTAACTGTATAGGAGATATCCTAAATCGCGTAGGGCTTGGGCAAGTAGACAATTTCTAGCCACTCACAAGCCAAGCTTTCACCTGCCACACTGACAACAATCTTACTTCTTCCGTTCTTGTGCGACGTGACAACGTCTGGACGACACAAACCTTCCTAAACTCTGATTGACCCTTGCTGTTGTGAGCTTACATCAGCCCTGATTTTTTAGGCATAACAGAAGCCCCCCAGTTCTTAAGGTTTAAGGATTGAACCTTGAGAACTTCATGATTATGCCATGACCTGACTTATCCTGAGTGACTCTTGATCGAGCTGTATGAGACAAGCAGTTAAGATAATGTGAAACTAGTGGTTTAACCCGACCAGTGAAGTATAAGGAGGTTGCAGTATAGGTCTCTAAGAATAGCACAAGCGACTTGAGGCGACCTTCCTCCACAAGTTCAGCGACCTGGGTCAGACATTGCTTAGTGTTATACCAACATGCTTTGGACTCCATCTGTCACTCACGACCTGAAAATACTTAGTATATTTTTTTCAAAAACAAGAGGTCACATCGTCTCGAAATCGATACATGGAGAAGAGTGTTTTACTCAAACAACCTCTTTAGATGTTACCCGTTGCGCTTGATAGCTAGTCTGGTCAATAAAGTAAACTTTATTCTGACATACGTGTCTCTTGCGTAATAAGTGTCAGACATGCTAAAACAACATTCCCTTTCAGAGCATTAAATGCAGATGAGGGCGCATTTAATATGGAGGAGATAACTGCACCGACGCTTGGTTACTCTAATTCCACAAAGCGTGAAGGTTACTCTTCATGTGGATTAACGACACGTGGTTGTAATCAATGGCAAGAAACGTATCCCGCCCAAGCATCGCTTGCTAAGGAAACCAATCGTTGCCTTTCCCCCTATAAAACCCCAGGTTCGCCTCAAGTTTTATCACATAACTCACATTTTCAGAGAGAAAAGCAAAGCTGTTGCACTTGTGAAATCAGTCCATTCTTCTTCCAGTTAATGCGCACTCTTCATTACAACAGGAAGTTCGTCCCCAATAGTCAAGAGGTAAGGAGGACTCTCCTTTATTTCCCTCTTTTATTTCTGTTAAAAGCTTGACTTTACAGTAATTGTGGGTATGAACTGTCTGGTAAACCTACACGATGCATGTTTCTGGACAGTGGTAAAAAAGGAAAACTTTTTTTTTTTTTTTTAGAAGTGAAAACTTGGGGCACGAATTCTTGGGAATTCATTCTCAAGGGTTTTTAGGGTTTTGCTAGGGGTTAAGGAAGGTAAATTAAGGTTTCTTTTACTCTTCCACATCATCATACGGGACACTGTATGGACATTAAGTCATCTCTGTATGTCGCCCCTTTTTTAGATTTTAGGAGCAATGGACACTTCAGCGACCAGAATGGCCGAGGGGACGAGCTCGTAGGCACTGAGCACCTCAGCAGGCCTCATGCAAGAGACATTATCAATGGCCACCAGGGACGAGATACAGAAAGCGGTGGACAGTTCGAGCTTAGCGTAGATGTCTACCAGCACATGATGTACACAGCTCGGAATCCCCTAGAAGGAATGGTCACGATCTTCGAGGTGATGTTTAAGTATGGGGTGTTGATACCTTTTCATCCCTTCATCAGATCAATCCTCGACCACTTCAAGGTTATGCCATTACAGTTGATGCCTAATATGTATATGATAGCTGTTGCTATGT